ATAGGAAGTAGGAGGAGCCAAGATGGAGAGTCAGGAGAAAGCAGAATGACGGCAGGTTCCCCGGTAAGAGAAATACATAGATCAACAGAAATGGGTTAATACTTAAGACAGAGCTAGCCGATAAGAAACTAGAACCAGGCCAACAGAATTATATCTACTACAGAGTCTCTATGTGCTAATTGGGGCTGGTGCGGCGGCGGGAGGAAAAACCATACTCGTTACATCATCTTCCCTTTATTCCACCCTCTTCCTAACACTATTATTATCCTGCATTTTTGTAGATTTGTTTATTTTATATGTATGGGTATCTTGCTGCATATATGTGTGTGCATCATATGCATGCCTGGCGACATTGGAGGTCAGAAGAGGGAGCCAGATCCCATGGAACTGGAGTTACAGACGTTGTGAGCTTCTGTGAGGGTATCAGAAACCAAATATGGGTCTTTTACAAGAGCAGCCAGTGCTCTTCTCTGAGTCCATCTCTCCAGCCCCCATGTTATCCTGTGTTTTTAAATATCCCCAGTCTCATAAGTGTGAAATGATGCAATGTGGCATTAACATCCTTTTCCCATGGCGCTTGGCACTGAGCACATTCACACACACAGCTGTTGGCTATTTGCATATCTTCTGAGAAATGTCTCCTGGGGCCCACACCCATTTTACAATTCCATCTGTTCTGAACTGTTTGACTTTTTCTTCTGTTTTGGCTGTCAATCCCTCATCAGATGCATGGGTCACACATTCTTGCACTGACCTCTTCGTTCTGTTGACTGTTTCCCTAATTGTCCAGAGCTGTTGAGTTTGGTGTCCTCCTACTATGTTTTTATTTCTGTCTGTGTTTGGCCACTCATAACCAAGAACAATGACAAGAATATCTCTTCCAGCTGGGCACTGGTGGTGCATGCCTTTGATCCCAGCACTTGGGAAGCAGAGGCAGACGGATCTCTGTGAGTTCAAGGCCAGCCTGGTTTACAGAGCAAGTTCCAGGACAGCTCCAAAGCAATACAGAGAAACCCTGTCTCCAAAACAAAAACAAAAAGCAAACAAACAAAAAAAAACATACAAAAAAGTATTTAAAAAGAAATAAATAAACATAACTTGAACATGAAAAAAGAAATGTCTCTTCCAGTACGTAGAGCTCAGTCCACCATTCTAGCCTTTACTCCATTTGGAGCTGTTTTGCATCTGTGTATGTGGTGATGATAATCAAGTTTTATTTGTTTACATATTGATAGCCAGTTTCCCCAGAACCATTTATCAAAGACTTTATCATCACCTGCGATTTGGGTAATTTGTAAAAGATCAGCTATGAATTTATTTCTAGGCTCCCTAGTCTGTTCCATTCATTTCTTTTTTTAATATTTTATTTAATATCCATACATAACTACGATGTGTTTGGATCCAATCCATCCCCAACCCTTCACCTCCAATTCCTCTTCTATTCCTACCCATATTTTTCTACCAATTTCTTTTAATATTTATTTATTTAATGTATATGAGTGCTCTACAGACTTTATGCCAGAAGAGGGAATCAGATCCCACAATAGTTGGTTGTGAGCCACCATGTGGGGGCTGGGAATTGAACTCTGGGATCACTGGAAGAGCAGTCAGTGCTCTAAACCGCGGGATCATCTCTCCATTCCCTCCTACCAACTTCTTGTGTTCTCTCTCTCTGTCTGTCTTTGGTTTAGTACTCACTGAGTCTAAATCTACTGTACTACGTGTAGCCTCTTCTGATGCATGGGTAAGCTCTCTGGGGCAGTATCCCTGAAGAAAACTGACATCCCCCCCCCACTCATTGCCACTAGCTGCTAATAAGTCCTTAGCTAGGGGCGGGACTTCATGAGCCCCTCCCTAATCCATGCTGAGATTTTGGCTGGCTTGATTTTATACAAAGCCTGTGCTTGCAGTTCCAGCTGCCATAGTTCATGATGCAACTGTGCTGTCTTGTGGGGCAAATATCAATTCCCTCTGGTTCTTACAATCTTTCTGCCCCTCTTCTGTGATGATCCCTGGGCCTTGGACTGGACTGTGATAAAGATGTCCCATTTAGAGCATTCTATAGTCTCTTAATCTCTGCACAATGACTGGCTATTGATCTCTGTATTAATTACCATCTGCTGAAAAATAAAGTTTCTCTCATGAGGGCCAAGAGATGCAATTATCTATGTGTACGAAGAAAAGAACTTCAGGGGCAGTTAGTTCATTACTATTCTCATTAGCAGAAAAATAGCATCAGGTTACCCCCCCATGGCCTAGGACTTAGTCAGCTATGAGGTTCTGGGTCCAGTTAACAGTAGCAGGCATGAATTCCATCTTGTGGAATGGGCTTTAAATACAATCAGAACGGAGTTGGCTATTTCCATAACATTCATGCCACTATGGTGCCAGTAGCTCACAGGGTTCATAGCTGGATAAACTAATGGCAGTATATGTTACTTTAGTTTCTGTGTGTTTCTTTTCCTTTGTTGTCAGTACCATATTGTTTTGACAACTATATCTTTGTAGTAGACTTTGAGATAAGATAGTATGCATATGAGTTAAATTTCTCTTACTGTGACAAAATACCATGACCAAAGCTTCTTACTGCAATGGCATCTTGTTTCCCCAACAGACTGGAGGTAATGGCTTTAGGGTATGGCCTCGGTGTTTGGATGTGACCCCTTGTAAGGAAGAGGAGGGGCCTGCTCAGGCTCTCTTGGGTTGTGGTCTGAGCATCCTGGATCGAAGACCCTGTGCCTCCAGGTGCAGAAGATTGCCATGGTTATTTATCATTATTGTGTGAGTGTTCCCCAAATAAATATCTGTTATTCTTTATTTAGGCATTCATGGACTTCCTTTAACCAGTCTTCATCTTATGGAAGTTCTTCAGTAGAAGGATCCCGAGGGGTAAAAGCCTTTTACGATGGGAAATAGTGGCAGAAGGTGAGTGGCAGGACCCTTGAGCAGGATGCTGAGAGCTCACATCCTTTACCATATCAGAGAATGCAAATGTTTAAGTGGGCTAAGGACATAAGTTCTCAAAGCTCTCCCTCACTGACACACTTCTTCCAGCAAAGACACACCTTGTACATCTTTCTACATAATGTCACCAACTGGGACCAAGTGTTCAAATGCCCAAGACAATGGGGGACATTTCTCATTTAAACTATTAAAGTGTGTTGAGCTGGCTTTGGTCATTTTGCCTAGAATTGCTTTGGCTAGGACTGGGATATGGCTTACTTGGTAGAATGCATGCACAGGGCCCTGGGTTTCACACACAGACATGAAGGCAAAACACTAACACATTAAAAATTAAATAAATATTATTTTTTTAAAAAAATAGAACTCTTTCAGTATTACTTTGTTTAATCTTTATTCAACTCTACCAAGTAGAATTTTCTTCTCATGTTTGTTTGTGAGACAGGGTTTCAGGCTAGGAGCTGAGGATGAGTCTGAATTCCTAATCCTGTCACCTTCAGGAATTGCTTCCTGGGAACACATGTGGCCCCCACCATACTGGGTCAAAGTAGTTTCTATGCTCTCCATTTTGCAGGTAAGGAGTCTTACTACCCAAAGTCACTCAATGAATCTAGCTCCCACGTTGAAGCACCAAATGACTATCCACCATACAGGTTGTCAAATCCCTCAGCGATCCCAGGAGGAATCTTTGCCACCAACCCTGTTTTCAGACAAGGAAGGCAAGCCTCAGAGAGAGGGACACAGCTTCTCAGCGTCCCGGCTGCTTCCCACGCTCCACACTGTATAGACTGAACTACCCACCAGAGTGGCCCTATGGTGTCCCACCATCCTACCTTCTGGAAATTTCTCTTCTTCCCTACTTCATATTGGTTTTGATATCCATCTGTCTCACTGCAGATCCCAGTCTAATGAAAAACCGTCCCCCTTGCAAAGCTCCCCAGCCTTCTCGAGAAGAGGGTATCCTCTTAATTCCAGACCGCAGGAAGCCTGTCTGAAGCCCAACTGTGGCAACTCCCCAATTCCCACTCCCCCAGACAGACCCCAGCGGCCTCTTCGTTCTCTGTTCGCCATGTCCTTGCTTACTATATGGCTCCTGTGCTGGGTATGGTCACCTCCCGCTTGAGCCATTCTCAGCCTGACTCTTGATTTTGCTTCGTTTGTTTTCTTTAAAAACCATTTAAAGAATTCCTCTTCTGTTTGTATCAGGCCTGAACTGGGAGCTTGGAATGCATCATTTCACACAGTCTAGAACTAGATACTGCACCAGAGTAGGAAACTGAAACAGGGGAGGGAAGTGGTTTTCCTAAGATCACACAGGATGTGGAGGACCAGAGGCTGGGACCCAGAGTCCTGGATTTTCCCCCCATAGGGTTACTCTTCCGACAGTCATCACTGGGGGCAGAATTAACCCCAAGTGAGGTGGAAACAACTTCCTCATGCCCAGCAGTCATCAACAGGGCCAGAGGTACAAGAGATCTAGATGACCGCAGGGCATAAACATTCTTGGGGGAAATCAGGAAAGGCCATGGGGAAGCGGCCGTGGAACCTGGAAGCCAGATCCTGAATGGTGGGTCAAATGCCTGTGAGTACGGGAGGCCCAAACCAGCTCAGACAGATTCCTGTCCTCACAAGTGGCTTAGCGACTTGGTGACCCAGGGGATATGTGAGAAAAGTCAAGATTTCACCCCCTCAGGCGGTCCCTGTATCGTTAGGTGGTGGAGGAACTCAGCAAGGAAGTGGAGCCTCCTACTTTACACAGGGAACCCCAACTTTCTGAGGTGAGTGTCGTCAGCACTGCAGGACTGATAGCAGGAGAAGGCAGGCAAAACACAGAGTCCTGGAGTTGTCTGGTTTATTGACTGAGGGTTAGCACAGCCCCCAAGGTTAGGAGTCTGGTGTACTGACTGAGGGTTAGCACAGCTCCCAGGTAGGACTTCCCAGGTAACTGTCTCCTCAGCCTCTCCCTACCCTCGGCAGGGTAGGTTGAGATGCTGGGGGTGGGAGCTCGTCAGCCCCCCCCCATCCCTGCTTCTAGAAGGTAGAAGGGGCTTCCATGCAGGCCGAGAAGACAAGCAATGCCATCCTAACATCCAGTGCAGGCAGCGTAGGCACAGATCTCACATGTATTTGGGTCCTGAGCAATGGCCTCTGGTCAAGAGAGAAGGAGCCTGGTAAGAGACAGCCACCCTTCCCTCATAATCCCTGGCTCTTTCCAAACAGAGTTTGGGTATTTGTTGCCAGCCACCAAGGTTAATCTCCTCTGACCCTTTGGGCTTCCTGCCTCACATGGGGCCTATGAATTCCTGAAGGCAGCCAATCAATGCAGCTCCTACCCAGAACAGGGATGGAGTTATTGTGGCCAGAAGACTGGACACAGGGTTCCTTTTAAGCCATGCTTCTGAATGAAGACCCAATTTAGGATTAACCAATCAGAGCACATCTCCTCCTCAAGCACCACCAATCAGTGAACACCCCAGCCACACTAGCCAAGAAGCCACTCACCTAGCCTCTGCAGAATCTCCTCAGCATTGGGTTTCTTGCAGAGGGGCCTCAGCGCTTCTGGAAATTTAGGGTGTCTGCACAGCGGTGGTGCCGCAGGCACAAGAAGCCTGGGAGCAAACCTCTTGTGACTCACCAGCAGGGACTCTGGTACCTCCTGGAGGTCCTTAAGCTGTTTCACTGACTCCAGAGGAAAGGAAAGGTCTCCATCCTGAAAGAGACAACCAGAGCATGAGGCCAGGCTGCAGGCAGCCCCAACCTGGGTGGCTGGCTTGGGACCATCTGTGGGGCAGTGTGAAGTCAGACCTCTGTGCCCCTGGGCTTCCAAGAGGCCTGGAGTTCTACACGCTATCATGAGGGGAATAGGGAAGCAGCTGAGGACAGCCAGGGATGCAGTTGCTGACCTGCAAGTAAGCTAGCCTAGACTGTCTTCTCTTGTCAGGGGGCCTCCACCTCAGAGGTCTCCCTGAGCAAGCAGGACCCCTGCTCGCTGACAGTCCAGCTTGTGTCTGGTGTCACGGATAGGTATGCCCCACCGTCCAGGTCTCCATGAGGTGGAGTTGATGCCTGGGACCACGCCTGATGCTGCAGGCAAGTGCAAGATGGGGGAACCAGGGCTAGACCTGAGTCCAGCCATCTCCCTTCCCAGCCACCCGCTTTGGCTGTTTTGGAACCTTTGTAAAGCTCACATTTCTGTTCTGTGAAATGCCACTAACAACCTCTCCTCCCCAATACTGGCAAGTTGCAGTGTACACGGCTCCAGGCACTCAATCACTGTCTATCCCAGCTGTTATTTCTCGCTGTCTCTGTTATTTTTTTTCTCCCCCATGTTTGAAAGGGGAAATTGCATGGCTAGTAGGACTCAGGGGTCCCAGAGGAAGCCCATCCCTCGTTTCAGGATTCCAAGGATGGGCCAGACTAAGTTGGGATAGGGCCATACCTGCACAGTGACCCCCTCTGCCAGGACAGCCAAGGCACCCAGGAGGCACAGCAGAGAGAGCAAACAGGCATTCATGGCAGCAGTGCGCCAGGCAGAGAAGTGGCCCATGCTGGGTGTCAGGGGTAAACAGTGGGACTTTTAAAGAGGCCAGAGTTACTCAGTAACCCTGGGACCTTGTCAGCCTCATCTGTTGCCTGTTGAGCCCCATCAGATAAGACCAAGGGAGCCTGGGAGATAAGAGATCAACAGAGCCCCAGCCCCTCCCCAGGCACTACTTTGACCCACAGCTGGGCTGGGCCCTGCATTTACTCTGGGCCAGGCCCTGCAGACCCAGCCCTGCCCTTGAAGAAAGAGGCCCAGAAAGGTGACTATGACGACAACAGAGACAGGGCCATTTAACATGGGCGTGGAGACTATGAAAGAGGCATCTCCCACCAGGGACAGGAGGTCAAGCCAATGCAGAGGCCTGGGGATGGGGTACTTTTGTCTACAGAGCCTGTGTTAGGAGCAAGAAGTGAGCTGAACCTAGAATGTTCAGGGGGATGCGAAGAGTAAGTGCGCCCAGAGAAATGAGAATGGGGAGATTGGGAACGCAAGACCCAGACACCAGGCTTGGTCTCTGTAAATCAACTCTGCCATCCTTAGGCATGCATTCAAATCCCACCACCTGCGAGTCACTGGCAGATGTCTCCCATCGTTCCCCATCAGTTTCTCTACACAGACCAATGTGAACATCTCCACGGTTGGCAGATGCCCTTGTGCTAGGGAGTCTATGAGGACTCAAGGTCCCGGCACACAGGAAGCCCTTGATGAAGGTACTGTTACCTGAACAGCAGCAGCAGCTCTTGGTCCCCCCTGTCTCCTCTAATGACCACCTACCTAGCCCAGTTACAGCAGTCCTCAGGGGGTATGGCCCCTCTGTCCTGCCCTGCCCTGCTATCAGTGGCTGAGATGGAGCTATGTGGACCTGGGACCCTCCAACCTGGCCCGTTGGGGTTGAGCATACCTAACGCAGTGTGGCTCACTGCAGGACTAGAGTGTATGAGCCCTGCCCCCCCTTTTCTTCCTGCTGCTCCACCACACAGGCTGCATGCCCATATAGCCAGGGCAAGGGACAGCATCCCTGGATGGCAGAGTTAGTACTGAAGGGCCTGGAGGGAAAGGAGCCTGAGAAGGGACTAGAAAGTGCCTTACCCAGGGGCGGGGAACATTTGGTCCTGACATGCTATCCTAAGCTAGATCTCCCCCACACCACCACCACTGTGGGGTCAAGTGCAAATCCCTGCATGTACTGAGATGTGTCTTGTAATACACTGAAGTGTGTATGTGTACACTGAGATGTGTATGAGTTATGTATATTGGTGTATTGAAGGATGTATGGAGGCACTCTGAAAGGGCTTTGTGCAAAGGCGTGTTTGTGTATGTCTATGTCTACATTGAGTGTACTGTATGTGTGCCTATGTAAGGCAGAGTATAACATACACTGAGGTGTGTGTACGTGCTTGACTATATGCATGTGTACCCTAAAGAGTGTATGTGCCTACGTTAAGGATGAATGTGTGTGCTGAGGTGTCTTTAGATGTGTATATGCTAGGAGTGTGTGCAGGTTCTGACGTGTGTCTGTTTATACATGCATGTGAGGAGGTGGGTGTGTACTTCAGGGAACAGTGGCGTCTGTGTGCCTGCAGACAAGTACATATGGAGTTCATGCACTCCCTGCTGGCCTCTGCTGAGTGATAGGTGGGCTTAAGGGCCTAGTGAGGGTGCATCTGAGCAGGGACATGCAGTTGCAGGGTACCAGTGAGCTGGGTTGGAGATGAGGTCACAGATGCTGTGAATGGGAGAAATGAAGTGGTAGGGGAGAAAGAGCAGGGGACAGTTCTGCGGTACCCTGGGGTGACAGGCACAAGTTGGGCTAACATGAGGACTGGGCTGGGCTTTGGGGATGGTGAGTGTTAGGGTTGGGTTTGGAAGTGGATGCCAGGGTAGGATAGAGCTTGAGGTGGAGAGTAATGAGCACTGGGATGGGTTCGGATTCCTTGTGGGGGTTACAACTGCGTAGTTTGCAGTGAGGTTGGAGGTAGGGTGGGGCTGGGTTTATGATTTGGGTTCGGTCTAGGATGACGTGGGAGCATATAAGACTGTGCTGGGATTTGATTTGGCTTTAGGGTGGACTGGGCTAGAGGAACCTTTTCTGACGCAAGGTGGCTCTTGTCTTCCCTAGGGTGTGGCTGTGCTTGGGGGGAGGGGGTTTCCACCCCTACTGCCTCTTCTGCCCAGTAGCTGCTCCATCTGCCTGTCAGGATGATGCAGTTTCACTGTGGGAGAGAGGAAGAAGCTAATAGGTCCTATCCCTTTGAGTCTGGCCCTATCCAACCCCAAGGACTTCTGAAAAGTAGGAACCTCTTTCTCTTTCCATTCCAACTACTGCCCTTGGCCAACCTGGGGCCAGTTCAGCCTCATCTCCTTTTCAGGGAACATACGGCCTTATCAGACTGCATTGAAACTGCTACAGGTTGGACATTTGTTGTACTCGTGGACCCTCAAGCTTGCACCCTGAATCTGGAGGCTTGTCCTCAGCACCCTGCATGCCTCGCCCCATCACTTCGTGACCTTATTTGGGCTTCACATATTCCAAGGCCACCTCTCTGGCAAGCCAGCACACTTCCATGGCCTTCCAAGCCACAGCGCCTCCTGGACCTGGCTGCATCACATCTAGGGATAACTAGCTGCTACCCCAAACCTCAGAGGAAAGCCAGACTACCTGGCTGGTACTCAAGGTCATGATTTAGCCCCTGCAGAGGCACCATTTAACCAAGGCCTCAAAGCACTACATAGGAGTGGGAGGGGAAAATAGAGCTCAAGTCTTCGAGCTAAGCTCCCCCTAGATTTCATCTTTTAAAAGTCACATGACCAGAGTCTTAGCTTTCTGTGCTAAAGATTGGTGAAAAGGACAGTTCCACTGCAGATTTCAGTATTTTCTAGCTACTTTCAGGGGCTCCTGAACCCCGGAGTTATGACTACTTCTACTTTTCTGGCCCCCTGGAGGCCTTCCCATCACACTCTGAGCCAGCCTGCCAGAAGCCAACAGCATAACCTGTATGCCCAATGTTCAGACAAGGCCTGCAAGCCAGTGAATGCCCCCATGTCTAGAGGGGATCCAGAAGGTGCCAGGGCTTGTCCCAAGCACTGATACCCACAGCAGTTGACAACTGTGGCTAACAACTCCTGAGATTAGCTGGGCCAAGGCCCAGGCAGAAGGCTATGCAGCTCTGGCTACAGACCGTCACTACTCTGCTAGGTGCTGGGGCTTCCCAAGGAGACTGCCACTATTCCTTTTGAGCAACAGATTTGGTTTAAAGGCTGTGCCTAGGTGACCTCATTGTGACTGCAGGTACCTAATGGGTCAGGTCCACTAGAGATGTGGTCCTCCCAGGACTCCTGTGAGCCCCAGGCCTAAACGGAAAAAAGGCCCAGAAAGCCTGAACACACATCTGTGTGACCTTGAGAGAGGTGTGACCTGCATTTCAGTTCAACCTGCAAAGCTTGTAAATGTGCTTCAGAGGGTGTAGCACTCTCTGGTTGCCATAGAAACCTATAGGAAGCTGTAACAGCCTAAGAATTCCAATGGCTGTGAGCCTCCTAACAGCTCTGGCAACAAGTGGAAATGAGTACGTAATAACTGTATAATCCCATTTTAAGGGGTGGGGGTGGCAAACAAGCTCAGTGAGATTGAGAAACCCTGACTTCCCAAGGCCATGTACATACATGGCTGTTGGGTACAGCTGTATTGACTGTGTACTGCAGAAAGGCACAGGGCCAACAGCACACATGTAAACACAAGCTCTGGGCGCCTTCAGCCCTGGGGAAGGCACGGTTTTTCAGATTTACTGCCAGGTGATTTGGTGACAACTGTGGTCATATAGCTGTAAATTCCAGAACCAAATCCAATTTTCTCAAATGCCAAAGGAAAACCTGATCTTCCACTCTGCACAGCGCAGGGCCTCCTGGACTGTTGCTGGCATCACACACACTTCCCCTTCAAGGGAAAGAAGAGAAGCAGCTCGCCGAGTCGGCAGTGCCCACGCCGCAGAGAAAATGGATGACCTAACCAGAATGCCCAGTGCCATACAGGGAGTGGCAGCTGGTGGGGCTTGGAGGCCCTGGCCAGAGCCTAAGCCCAGTTTCCCCTCCCCCAGGCCCCAGGTTGGTGGGCGATTTCTCTTGATACTTAAGGGGGCAGCTGGGGAGTGGAGAGGGTGTGTCTGCTTGTTTGCCCAGCCTAGTCATCCCCCTGTGGCTAGCCCAGATGAGACGATGGACACTCGTTCACCATCTGCTCCCATTCACACAGCAGCTGCCTCCTCCCCGTCCTGGAGGTATCTCACTGAGACAACCTCCATCCTGGAGGGCAGGAAGTAGACTCGGCTAGAGTGCCCACCCTCAGGAGTGCCCTACACACCCACCCACACCCTCAGGAACCCAAGCTTAGACAGGGCATGGGCAGACTCCACTGGACTCCTTGTAGGACACACTAGGAGCTGTGAGAGGAAAGCCTGGGGCTGTTTCCTGAGGCCAGGCTACCATATGCCTGTTGGTAGAAGTGACTGACCAACAGGTGTAGACCTGGAGGTCCAGGGGAGGAAAGCTGGCCTGGACTGAGGTACAGCAGGGCTCAACAGCACCAGCCTTGGGCACTTGCCTGGTGACAGTTTAAGATCTTGGCAGAGCCGCTATGTACAAAGACTTTCCCTTCAGCAGAGGGTTGAGGGTAAATGGTGAGCTGTAACTAGAAAGCAAGTGTACAAGAAGGAAGGGAATATTCCATCTTGGCAGGTATGGGCAGGGAGTGGGGGGAGGGGTAGAAGGGCAGCTGTTTTTTTGGCAACTTGGTCAGAGCAGAGGGAGGAGTGGAAGGATGTTCCTTTGGACCTATGTGCAGCGTCCAGCTGGCATTTCAACATCACTCTGAGGTAAGTTGTTTTGTTCCCCTGTTAAAGAGGCAAGTGAGGCTCAGGGAAGGGAGTGTGTTGCTCACCAAGACTCCTAGAACCTGACTCCAAAGCTCATTTTCTCCCCATTGCCGCAAGCACCAGTTGTGTTAGGATCTGAGGTCTGCAGCAATCTAGACTACAGGCCAAATGGCAAGGGTTACACTTCTGCTAAGATGAGAAAGCCTGCGTAGGCATAGGCACACATCTGCCATCTAGCTCAAAACTACCAGAGAGAGTGGCAACAGAGCAAGCCAGGCATATGATGAGGAAAAAAAGATATCTATAGGAGATTCATGGGGCCCAACCCCAAAAGCACCTGGGTAAGAAGCTTGATCCCAGGTGAGCGTTGCCCAGGATACAGGACCTCACAAGAGGAGAGAGCTGCTCCTAAGCAAAGACTGAGGAGCCTCCCTACCCTTCTGACCTGTTCCTCCTCCTCCAATCTGCTGAGCAACCCTAGGAATTGATGTTTGGATCCCCAGAACCCACATAAATGCTGGGTGGGTTGGCAGCCTTGGAAGGTGGAGGTGGAATTCCCCAAGGCAAGCTGGCTAGCAAAAGTAGCCATTATCAGAAAGCTTTGGGTTTGATTTGAGAACCTGTCTCACTGACCCGACTTCAAGTCAGGGGCCTCCACACCCATATAAGCATGTATTCACATGTGTGGATACAAGCATGAAAACATGTACACAAGTGTGCATGCACACACACAGCCTCACACACCCACACTTGAGAGAACCAGGACCATTCCTGCCACCTGAGCATCACTCAGGAATGGGAAAAGAAGCCGAGAGATGTTCTGACATCTTTATTATTTGTCTGGGACGGGAAGCTGCTCTCTGACCGGTGTATATGTGTGTGCGTGGGGGTCACCGAGGGCAAAGAGCTGACATTCTTCAACAGGAAAGTGGGCAGATTCTAGGGTAGGTTAGGTTGGGAAAAGGAAGGTCAAGGGCACCTGGGACTGTGTGGAAGAGGAAATCGGCCTCTATGGAAAGCCCAGACCAGAATGAGGCAGATCTGGGCTCTGGCCTCCCCCTCACACTAGGAGTGACCTTTGGGCCAACACTTCACCTCTCAGAGTGGCAATACCCAGCAGTAAAAGGCAGATAATGGCACTGACCTCACGAGGTGGCTGGGAGTTGCTGAGGCAGATAATGGCTGTCAAGTACCGGGCAGGGAGCTAGCAAATGGTGGCAATAATCATTATGCGCCTGTTGGAGCAGTGCATGGGGCACCATCCAGGCCCACTCAGGCTCATAGGCAGGGTTGGGGAGGAAGGTGTGGGGCCTGCCTGAGCAGCGCCTGTGGGAAGAGTATCAGTTCTTTCATCAGCAGATCCCAGGCCAGCAGAAGATCTGGGGTGACATCCCTGGGGGTGGTGAGCTTCATTATGATCCAGCCAAGGCAGCTGTGCAGTAACCCCACATAGGCTGAGAACTTCAGGCTCGGAGTCTCCAGCCAGCAGTTACCACAAAGAGGAGGGGACACAGACAGGGAGGGTTGGCTCCTCTTCCTTTGTAAGCTCTGGGGGTTGCAAAGGAGCAGCACAGCTCAGAGTTGAAGTAACCCTTCTGGAAAACAGGCAAGCAGCTGGCAGTACTGCCCCCTGGTGGACACTGGCATTTCCTGTAGCCTTTGATTTATATGAGTTTTGTTTTTGTTGACAGGGTTTCTCTGTGTAGCCCTGGCTGTTCTAGAATTCACTCTGTAGACCAGGCCAGTCTCAAACTCAAGAGATCCACCTGTCCCAGTTTCCTGAATGCTGGGATTAATGGCATGTGCCACGATTTTTGTTTTGTTTTTCAAGACAGGGTTTCTCAGTATTGCTTTGGAGCCTGTCCTGGAACTGGCTCTGTAGATTAGGCTGGCCTCGAACTCACAGAGATCCACCTGCCTCTGCCTCCTGAGTGCTGGGGCTAAAGGTGTGTGCCACCAACATCAGGCTTATGTGCCATGATTTTAAACACCTGCTTTTATTAGAGCAGGATACTCCAGGGCAAGTAAGTTAGTTATCTCTCTGTGCCTCAGATGCTTTATTGTTTTGAGAGAAGTTCTCTCTACGTAGCCCTAAAACTAGCTATGCAGACCAGACTAGACTTGAACTCAGAGAGATCCTCTTATCTCTCCTTCTTGAGTGTGTGGATTAAAGGCCAGTGCCACCACCTCATATAAGAGACATCACAATGAGGCCCAGGGGTTGTTTTCTAAGACTGAATATGATGATTTACTCCAGGTATTTGGGAGAAACAGGACCTGTCCATCCTGTACTGGGGCCCATGTTGTGTGGGACATTGCTCAAGAGCTGGGAACTGCCCTTATGGGGGCTGGAATCTGGTTTGCACGCAGCCAATTGCTTTTCCCACATTGATTTGACAGTTGATGGGGGGGGGCACAGGAGGAAGTTTTAAAATCTCTCTTGAATTTACTCCAGAAGAAACCAACAAAGCGACTAGCTCAGCAAGTCCATGTGCTGCCTGTCTTTGCTGCAGTCTGTCCCTCAGCTCCAGAGGCTGCTTACCACCTCCAAGGGCCATTCACACGGCCCACTGCACCAGCCACGGGCACATTCACAGTGAGATGTTCTGCTCACACACACATTCCATCTCACACAGCCCTAACATTTAAAGTCTGTGAGCACACTGCAATTGCAGTGTACCTTACTTCTCCAAAGCTGTCCATTCTTTACACCACCACACCCTCAGGTTACAGTAAATCAAGTTAGACAATGTGCCCACGAGGAGAGGAGTGGGTCAGAGGACAACTTGTGGAAGTTGGTTCTCTCCTTCCAGCACTAGTTGAGGGGACTGAACTCAAGTCATCAACCCTGGGGGCAAGTGGCTTTACCTCCTGAGCAGGACCATCCCTCCCACTTGTTTATAGGAAGTCTGGCTGCTGCTAGGTCACTGACTCCCATCCTTTCCCTCAGTTTCCCCTAAGTAGCTGTGTGACTTGGCACAAGCTGCCTCCTTTACTGGGTCTGAATGCTTTCAACAAAATATGATGGTAGGGGATGAAGAGATGGCTTGGCAGTTAAGAGTTAAGAGTTTCAGAGGTCCTGAGTTCAATTCTCAGTACCCACACAACAGCTCACAACTTATCTATAACCTGTTCCATGGGATGGGAATCTGTACAATCTCACACACATACATGCACCAATGTTAAAAAAAAAAAAAAAAGATGATAGCATTAATCACTTTTCTAAGGCCATTCCCATGGTTTGTTCAGGATGCTTTACCCAGCAGTAATAGGTCACATGTAAAGACCTCAGAGTTACATGTTGAGAGAAATACACATGCAGCACAATGACAATTCCCACTTCCTCTGAGCAGATGAGGTATACCCTACCTGCATGGCAATCAACAGTAGGTAAGCAAAACTTGCTGCAATGGCAACATAGCCCTCAGGGTTGCCCTCTAAGAGATGTACGTACATACGTGTACACACACACACACACACACACACACACACACACACACACACACACACACACACACACACAGTGGTGAGTAGTTACTGTCCTTGGCTTTGGAAAACTGTGAAGCTGAAAAGAGTTTTGGAGTCTGCCCCAGACAGAATCATCCTAAATCCATGACTAAAGGTAACAGCTGAGGCACATTCTCCTTTCTGAGCCTGTTCCCATCTGTAAACACAACACTGATGGCCCCTGCAGTGTGTGCGGGTAACTTAGAATCTTTGGCTACACCGTCAGAGTGGTGAAGCTCTGCTCTCTCAGATGAATGGAGACTCTGCCCATGTACAGATCTCCAAGCTTATTGTATGTCTGTTGCTAAGCCCTTTCTGAACCTGCTCCCACCTCAACCCACTCTCCACACTCTAATCACGCCCCCAGGCAGGATGCAGAACACCAGTGTCAGAGAGACTAAGCATTGGTCTCAGGCCCTCTGGAGGCTGACCTGCAGTGCTTCTCTAAAGGGGCACTCTATACCAATGTTCTCCTCACCAGGGAAACTTGCAATGTGGCCTCTCAGGCTAGGTGCTGCTTGTTCCTTGTCCTGGGCAAGTCTGCACTCCCCTCATCTCTGGGATTCTCTCTGGAGAGCTTCCCCCAAGTGTCTGCTCAGCTCAGGAAAGAGAAGTACAGAGATTAAATAACCAAGTTCAGTGTTGAGGCAGCAATGCATGGGCACAGTCTCAAACTCACAAGGGCTTCGTGGCCTGGCCACAGGTTCCAATCTGGCTCCCTCAACTGTAGCAAATGACACAGACCATAAGGCTGCAAATACAGTTATCATAATATATTTATTTTAAGTGCCATCCATGCATATCAGTTCTGGCAGCGACAATCCTAATGACACTTGGAATATTTCTTTACAGCACTAAACGGTTACAAAGAATGGGTGCCACTCACCATCGGCAGAATATGAAATCGTGCAATAGGAAAACTGTAGAAACATTAAAACACTGACTGTTCAACAGCAGCACAGAGAGCAGGTTGTTTCTGCACAAAAGCCAATGCATGTCACCACATATATACAATATAGGTATGTACACATCACCCTCGATGAACATATCAAAATACTCTATTCCATTTGAAATTATCCCAAGATCGATCCCTTCCCACTTCAAGGACATCTGAGAGACACGTATTAAATATTTACAGGAACACACAAGAATACACTTACATTTCAAACACTGCCACAAATGCCAGTCGGACTCTTCTCCTGGACAGAGCACCCCATCTGTTTATGTATGTTTATTAGTCTTTACCCCAAAGTCAATTTAAGCCCAAAAGAACTTGCCCAGAAATGGCCACTAGAGGGACTCTGCACCCATCAGGTAGCCCTGCCTGGCCACAGCCCTCTGGGCCTGCTGAACCCTGGGGAACAGGGACCACAGAAGAGTGAGGAGTCTGTACTCAAGTGCCATTCTTGGTCAGTTTATATATTAATAAATATGTCAATCACTGCAAATCAGTAAATAATTGCCAAATTGGAAATTAGCTTCACATAATTTGTAAAATTGTGAACAGTAGTCCTACCCAAGCCATTCTGTTTCAGAGACTACAGTACTCCAACACCCAATTTTTTTAAAGTGCACACTGCTAGTAGCAATCCTAGTCATGGAGCAGCTGTTTTGGTGTCCAAAAAACAGAGACTTGAATAAACTACTGGAAACCCCATCTTCCCATGCTTTCTTTCCTCTGCAGGCAGCCATTCCATCTTGCCTGATCCTTCTGAGAGAGGCCTGTTGGCTACTGTTTGAGAACCCCGATTTTCACTTATCTGAGGAGCTGTATCTGAGCTTCCTTTTCATGCCAAGAGATACCCAAACAACAGAGATGTACAAAGCTCTCCATTTTTCCTATTCAAGGTAACACTCCATTAATACACCCCCCCTCTCTCACACACACACTCTCTCTCTCTCTCTCTCTCTCTCTCTCTCTCTCTCTCTCTCTCTCTCTCTCTCTCTCTCTCTCTCTCTCTCTCTACCACAGACTTACTGAGGCTTAGTTAGCATTGCTGAGCCCAGAGACACTAACAAGTAACTGATGAGAAGTTATTTTTCCTTGATTTTCAGAATCCATTTCCTCATTAAAACAGATCCCCCACCCCATAAAAACCAATTAGAAACCTACTCACTGTGGGGAGGAGACTCTCCTTTCTTCTACTTTCATTATAAATCAACACAATCAACCCATGCAAACTGTGATAATATGGAACAAACCAACCAATAGAAGCTCCCAGACGTTCCTCTGTGGGGCACACAACAGCAAGTCACATAGTCACAGCACAAGACTGAAACAAACTCTGGAGCTACAGCCCCTTCGAGTACTACCTAAAACAGTGAGGACACTTCTGTACAAACCCTGCCTCTATGCCTTGCTGCCTAAACAGACTCTGGTTCAAATTCCAGGAAATGCCTATGCTGCTATTAAGTCTCCATCAGCAGGAAAGATAAGTAAGGAAGCATACTCACCTGGTAAAAGGAGTGATGATAAAGAGAATGACAAAATTTCTGATTGTCTTTGTCTGTAAACTTTTATCCAGAAAAAAATAACCATGCTTTCAGGAAAATTTCTCCCTAGTGAACCCAAAAGAACCGTGCATTCACAGAAAGTAGCAATAAATATTAAAATAACTTTTGAATAATAAATATTTAAAAGAATATGGAGACATTGATTTGTTTGAAGAGCCAAGCAATATCCAGCTTCAATTAGTCCACACATTTCAGAGCTTTCAAAATGCAGCTGAGGAAACACACTGACAAGGTATAACACACGCTCTACAACTCCCTGCATCACAAGCTTGCTCAGGAACAAAAGACCCTCTGCATTGCAGAGAGTACCAACTCCAGGTTCCTTCACTTACTCGCTGGAATTCATGATTACCCCTATTTCTGGAGATTAAACAAAGGAAACTGGGATTTGTAAAGACCAGTTTCCTTTTAGCTCCCTACATTGTCTGAAAGCACCCTGCAGAAAATGGCCTAACAAGGGATAAAAACTGACAGTAACTTTCTTCTTAAGACACAATAGTCCAATTAGAAAAAACTTGAAGCCTTTCAGTAATGTTTGTACATGTATTTACATATATGTATTTATAAACTGCTTGCAGCAAAATAGGCTCTGTCTGAAAAATCAGTCTGGCACTTGTGGTTAACATCAAACTGACACAAATATGCAAAAAACTGTCCAAATCACAACAGTTAGGAGCTACAGAGGGCACTGGTGGGAGACAAACATGTAGTTCTTGCTTGGGTCGGATAAAAGCAGTTAAGTTACCCAGCTAGAATCTCTGATTGTCTTCAAAAGGAATTTATATAGCACTGGAACATCACTTTGTTCTCTCAACTGGACTCTAATCCATCCTTTCAGTAAACAGAAGGATGCTGGAGTCTGCTGTCTTGCAGAAACAAGCCTACACTATTGAATCCCAATCAAAGTCATCCTGGATGTCATCTGGAGGCAAAGAGCGCCGCATCTGGAAGGCTTGGGAAGGCATCATGTGCTGCTGGTTCATGGCTCCGTGATGGCCTAGAAAGGAGAAGGCAATGTCAGCAGTGACCTGGGTAGGGAAGTCAGGAAAAGACCAACCAGCCTCTCTATACAAGTCCTATGTGCATGGACATGCCTGGAATCCATCAAAGACCTTCAACAAAGTTGTTCTCACAGTCCTTATTTTCTACTAAGGCGATTAGGGTTAAATCCAGGTACAATGATACACACATGCAATATCAACACTCAGAAAAAAGAGGCAGAAGGGTCACAGATTCAAGTCCAGTCTAGGCTACACAGACTGACTTCAAAAATACAAGATTTAAACTCAGTCCACCTGACTCCAAAAAGCAGTCTTCCGTTTTATTAGCCCATAGGAAGAAAGGCACAAGAAACATGCTGACAGCCACTTCACTTGTCTGCTACATTCTACCCTATTCTACTCTAATGTGCTTCAATAACATCAATCAAGAATGACATCAGACGACTGGAGAGATGGCTCATCTGTTAAGGGCACTGGCTGTTTTTTCAGAAGACCCAGAGTCTATTCCCAGCACTCATATGGTGGCTCACAACTCCATGTCCACTGGATCTGACACTCTCTTCTGACTTCCTTGGGGGCAACAGATACTAAAGTGGTACACAGGCAAAACACTCATACACCTAATTATTTTTTTAATTAAAAAAAAAAAAGTCATTGGTATACCACTGAAGTTAACAAAACTTGCTACCAACAGTCCTTCATTATTAGAACTTAAGCAAGTTCTTTGAAATGCTGTAAAATTCTTACTGGGTTATTATTGCTATTTGTACTCTTAACAACAAAATTTAAAACTACCTGTTATTTTTCTCATGAGTCCGTTAACATATAATTTTACAAAATGCTAAGCCTTTCAGTATATCATACTGTATGTAGTAGACGTGCCAATATGTCTTTATTTAACCAAAGAATACATACATCCCTCAATGCACGTCAGACACTAATTTGAAGCCAAGACAAGAGAATGATAATCTGGCTTTCTGATTTGTGCTCTAGCCACAGTATTGTACCTATATGTACTTATGAGGTGTGTACATTCCTCCCCTCTCATCCAGAGCACATCACTGAGCATAGTCCCTTCCTTCCCCACTGCTCCACACACAGCTCTATCCAGGTCTGGCGCATCCTCACTGGCAGATCCTGCTTACTGTCTTCTCAGATAGGTAAAGTAAGTGAGAGGCAGTGTCAGGACTTGGGTTTTAGTTTAACCGCTCATCAGCCTGAAGTTCTGGGAAGCTTCCCTCTCAACCCCAATTCCTCATCTAGGGACTTGTTAAGGTTCCTTCCAGTTCTCATAGCATGCCCTTGTCTGCTGGCCACTTGTGATTTATCATACTGTTAGCCTGGAAACTACAGTTGGATTACTTCTCTGGAATCAATGGAACAGAATCCACAGCAGCTAGTTAAAGCAAGCCTCTGAAAGCTGCATTAAGTCATGTTAAAGCAAAATCCTCAAAGCTATTCTGCAACCCAGGCTGTAAAAAGAGTTCATGCCTTCTCAAAGTACTTCCATTTACTTTAGGGCAGGTAAAGCTTTTCAGTGTTAAACTGTAGGTCCCAAATATAGTAGCACACAAACACTACCTGCCATCGTAGTTCCTGGAGTGCTGAGCGCCTGTGGGATATGAGGATAACCAGGGGGTGGCATCACCGAGGGGAGATTTTGCCTGGAATCTATGTACAAATTTCCTAATCAAATTCAAAAATAAATAAATAAATAAATAAATAAAAAAAGAAGAGAACACATGTTACCACCATCAGTAAAACAAAGCAAGCATTAGAATTTTGATGGAACAGTTACCTACATAATGCCATAGTAGGTAAGGCAATCAGTGAGGAATGAAATTATTCCTTCTGAAATGGAGTTGGCCCAGTGAAACAGGGTGCTGGGTTAGGTGTGGAGCAAACTGGCTAAGCTCATAGGCAGGGACATCTACAGTTGTCACTTCATTGAAGTGACTTCTATGACTACATCTATGACTTCACTTAACCCTCCCACTACCCACAAGGGCAGACAGAAATCACCCACTTCTTTCTAGAAGTCAAAGGAAGCTCAAGCATTTATGCAGGCTCCCAAGGGCATAAGTCTCGCAGAACCAGGACATGGAATCTTGGTTCAAAAGCTCTTTTTTGCTGCTTCCATTCCTCTACTGCCCTAAATTTTCCCCTTGTCTGTAAAGTGAGCACTAGCTGATTAAGTAGCCAAAACACAAAGTAACAGTAAAGATATGCACAAGGGCACAACTAAGCTAAGTAAAGGTGACTTTAAAATATATCACCAATTTGCAGATGAGCTATATAAACCTCGTTTAAATGGAATTGAAGGGGATTCATAGGCATTTTCATTGACAAGAGCCGTCAAGGGCATCACATCACAATGAGAAATACTGAGGAAAATAGCATCATGACCCCTCCCTAGTAATTAATTCTAGGGCTGAAAGCTATAAAGCTACATCCTACCACCTGGAATTTTGAGAAGGCCATGTCTAAGAGATGCTAATGTCACATAAGTGACACTTGAATTCAACCAATGCAATGAAACTAAAAAGCAACTACTATGCTTCCTAAAAAGGCAAGAAAAACCTATTTCTACTATTAATAAGGTAAGGCACATTGGATTTGGCTGCTCCCAAGTTTTCAATAGCTATAGGAAAGCCAGACCTGCATCCAGGCTTGAGATGGCTTCAGAGATGACCTAGTCTAACAACCCCTCTACTCATACACGAGGAAATAGGAGCAGAAGAAATTTGACAGAAGCAGGGGCAGACTCTAAGTCTAAGCCCCAAGTCATTACCTCCAAGATAACTTGCTTAAATTCTATTACATTCCTAACACTTTTATTTTCACAGGGAAAAACAAAACATGGAACGAACAAATGCCATAATTTCTCATTTTTCCATGCCCTCATTACAAAGACCACACAATGACACCTTGACATTATGTGCATTCTTCAAAAGAACCTTGAACTTTCAATTTTAACATCCTTAGAAGATTTAACATTTTGATCATTGCTGCCAAGTCCACACAACTTTCAAGTGAAATAATTTCATAACTATGATCTTTTAAAAAAATTGTATCCTTTTAGAGACTTGTTTAATGATTAAAAAAAAAACTAAGGATGACAAAGAATAATAGTAAACAATTCATACAAATTATAACAAAATAGCCTTTTACTTCAAAAGATACATTTTAAATCACTTGCTCATTACTTACAAACACCACAATGTAGATGGATCAACATCACCCTGAGACATGTCACATGCCTGTTGCCTAGGACAGTGAATTTATGTAAGTGTATGTAATCCCATACCTGCCCCAATGTGTTGGGAAGGTTTTGCTGGGTGCATGGCACCATGACAGACATTCTGCTGAACGTTGTTCTGTGGGTGGATAAGGCCAGTCTGTGTGAAGAACTGATTAAGAGAGGAACAGAGATCAGCAAACTGAACCTGATCTAATGACCAGTTCTTGAGATCCGCCTGCCTCATACTCTCCATCAGACCTACAAGGAAAGATACAGTGTAGGATACAGTGAGCACAACTATAATACTGCAAGGAAACACCAATGCAAGTCTTTTCAATCCCCAGGCTGCACTCAATTCATGTGATGTGGCAATTTGCTCATGCAATGAAAAACAACATTTTATGATATTTAAGATTACCCAACGGGCTCAAAATGCTAGGCTTGAAGCACTCAGACTTTGATTCAATCCACTAAACCTGCATTTAAAAAAAGAAAGAGCCAGATTTGGTGGCATATCTTATAATCTTGGTGTTTGGGAAAAGTGAAAGCAGGTCCCCGGAACTGTTTTCAGCTACCCATCCAGCCTAGTCTACTTCGTAAGCTCCAGGCCAGTGAGAGACCCTGTCTCAGAATAGGGGAGTGGAGCTATATGAGGGACTTGAGTTTGGATCCCCAGAACCTGACTAAAAGTCAAGTACTATGGCACGTGCCTATAATCCAAGCACAGAGAAGCCGAGGGTGGGAGCAGCAGAGAGAACATGCACAGGATGGAAAAAAAACACAATAGGCACCACACACATAAGGAGACCAGCCACTCTAGTTAAAACAGTGAGCTTCAGGTCCAATGAGAGACTCTGCCTCACAAGTAAGGTAGAGAAGCACCTGAGGAAAGAGTTCAATCCCTGGCCTGCACATGTGCAAGCACACCTTCATATACTACATACACACAAATAGGCCAAAGACATGGATCTTTTTATACATCGTGAAGACAAGTTTCTGCCTAAGGTGCCTTCTGATTGGTTTAATAAAGAGCTGAATAACCAATTACTAGTAGGTATAGGCCAATTTCCAGTGAGGGAGGAACTCAGGAAGAATCTAAGGCATATGGATACAGTATGGAGGAGAGGTAATGAGCCACGTGGCAGAATACAGATTAAGATAAACTGGTTAATTTAAGTTATAAGAGCTAGTTGAGAACAAACCTAAGCTAAAACTAATAATAAGTCTCCATGTTATTATTTGGGGACTGGCAGGCCAAAAAAAAGCTTGCTACAATGGCTCAGCAGGAAATAGTGCTTGTTGTATAAGCCTTATAATCTGAATTCAATCCTTAAGAGTCCATGGCAGAAGGACAGAATTGATTCTCAAGAATCATCCTATGATCTGCACATATGCACTTTGTACATATGCATGCATGTATGTGCTGGCACTCCTTATATACATATTAGACACATACAATAAGGGTTAAAGTAAAAGATGGACAGCAACTGGGGAACAACACTTGTGATTGTCCTATGGTCTCAAAAAACAAAACAAAACAAAACAAAAAAATGTGCACACAAACATGCGAGCACACAAGCAGAGGGAGAGAGATGGGGCACAGGGAAGGGAGACAGACTATGCAAAACCTGATTCTTTTAAACATGGCTAATATTCCTGCACAACTCTTGTATGTAATGTTTTTTTATATCAACTAGCCAATTTATTAGAAGTTTTTATAAATGTCCTTTAAGAACACTATCACTGCAAAGCCATGTCTTTAGATAAGATGATGCTTCTTTCCTTTTTCGAGACAGAGTCTTGTTATATATCCCTGGCTAGAGAAGTATTTGCTATGTAATCCACAGCTGGCTTCACTTTTAGCAATCCTCCTACCTCAGTTTACCAAGCGCTGGGAAAGCAAGTACATACCAACATACCTGTCAGGAGATGCTAATTTCAACAACAAAGAAACAATATTCCAGAGAAAACAGATTTGTGGTATTTGAGTCTATGTGAAAGGAACCAACCCTTACCTTGGAACTGTGAAAGGTCTACATCTGACCAGTTAACACTGCTGGCAATTCGACAGCTTTCCTTCAGCATATCGAGTGTTGCATACCAATCGCTTGAAACACCTAAAAAGTAATATTGACAATACTGTTAACTCTGGGATAGTGACTGCTGGAAGAATACACACATGCGGGAGACAGCAAGTGGCTTGACTTCTGACACTGGCTGCTCCCTGTCCACTCTTAGAAAGGGATGTTTACCAATTCTGTCAGGCCTTGGGTCAATCTCCTCTCAGAGACAGAAAACTTCCCATTTCTCTCCATTTCACAAATAAAAGAAACAGAACCCAGATAGGTAGTGTAAGATCCCCACAATGAACTTGAGACTTTAATGCTGGTCTCCTAGTCTCTCTTCTGGCAGTTTTCAAATAGCCATTTCGCCTTGTAAGCAAAATTTGGTACTGGCCCTTTCATCAATATAAATAATGACCAGGAGGGAAACTCATGCAAATGAGTGTTCTTGCCCCTTTAAAACTTCATCTTCCTACTTTGTAACTGATCTTAGACAATGCATTTTGTGTAGTGTGTGGTGAGGCCACAGGTCCAATCTCCTACACCACCAAAAAGTTATTCTCACTTAAGTTATAAAGGACAGGTTCTATTTAGAAGCAACACAGTATAAGGAAATGTTCCAAACTATGGGACTGGATCAGATCAGTGAGAGGGATGCTAACAAGCTTAGGGAACCTTAGGAATGAAAATGTCTTAGCACAGTATTCCAAAAGTTAGTAAATGCTACCCCACTGTATAAACATTGCTGGCTTTAGTCCTTTTTTGAATACTGTTGTTATGGGTATGAAAGTCAGGTCAGTATATGAATCCAAGTTCTACTACCAACTGACTGTGTTATCTTATGCAAATGGTTTCAGTTCCTTTGAGCTGTGCTTTTCCTATCTACAAAATTTGCTAAGTTATACTTGATTTGGAAGGATGGCAATATATCTGGGTTGTCTAGTACACAATGGGTACTCAAGTAGCTTCCATTCCTGCTCTCATCCTGCTATTCCTCTCTATTAAACAAAAATTGTTTAGTTCTACTCCACACACATGGGATGTATAATTAACTGTAATGAATTATTATCAGGCACACTGTGATTCCTTCTGACTCCTTAGGGGTGTCTTCTCTCTATAAGGTGCCAATGGCAAAGAAGGCTGTAAGAGTGCCAATCGTTAATTTCAACTGAACTTTTCTCCTTAGCACCAGACTTCTATATCCTGAAACTACTCAACCTGTTCATTAATCTTTTCCTCAGAACATATGAAAAACAGGTATAAGTTTTTGAAGAATATATTGATATTTATAAGGTATACAATACCATCTGCCTTGTTCTTAATAGAGTTTTAATTCTGTAATACATCTTTCTCAAGTCATATATCTAAAAATAACTGCAAAATGTTTAGGACATATTCCATTAAGGCAGAATTTTTCAATTATATTATAGAATTTACTTAGAATTAACTAAGAAAACAAAACCAACCATTAAAGTGAAACAAAAAAATTAAGTATTTGTTTGACAGAATAGTCATTTTGACTTTTTGTTTTAGTAAAATAAAAGGTAAACAAACCACGGGTTTGAGACTAGCTCAGACCACCTGCTAAGAAACTCCTAGATAACAAACAAACAAAAGCAACAAGTAGTTTAAGTCATAAGAGCCAGAACAAGGATTCAAACACAAGTCTTTATGGCTTAACTTGTGCTGTTGTTTCTTTTACACTTACATAGAACCACAAAACTGCAAACAGATCACACATTCCAGTCTTTTAAATCTCACTAGAAGAAGTGGCCAGGGCAATACCAGAATCTAAACAAAAACCTGTAAGGCTGAGTTTGCCTATGTTGCCAATGCATTTATATTAAGAAACTCTTCAGATCACCCATGGGTTAAATGAGATGTAAAGAAAGAGGAAAGGAAAACAAGTAAAAAGGGTTTAAATGCTACAGGAGGCCCAAATAACAAAGTACAGGATGAATTCAGTTATTCAAACACAAGCAGAAGAAACTTACCAGAATTACAGGATGCCTGCTGTGGGGGTGGGGGTGGCTGATGTGCTAACGTCTGATGCTGATGGTTTGGATGATGCTGTATGTGCTGATGTGGAGAGGGGTGCTGGGTGTGAGGTGGCTGGAGCTGGCTGTGTTGCTGTGGGTGTGGTGCTGGGTGCTGGGGACGTTGTGGATGCTGTGGTAAACCATGCGGTCGATGGGGTGTGTGTGGAGAGGGCTGTGTGTGCATTTGGGGGTGGGACAGCGAGACCTGTGCAACCGAATTACTGCCTGTGGCATTGAGCCCACTGTGACTGTTAGGCAGGCTGCTTTGGTTACTGTGTGGGTGAGAGCTCACTGTAGTGCTAGGAGAGTGCTGATAGGAACATGAAGTGTGGGACTGCTGGGAAGACTCGGAAGGGATGCTCATCAAACCTAAAAACAGAGTAAGATCATTTGTGGTCAGATTTCCTTCTATCTTATGACAATTGCAATATTATTATTTACAGAGTAAGGCATATATGTGTAAGGTAGCAACACATGAACACACATGTATACACACACCTTTTTCAAGTGCCATAAACAAACCCACAAACATGGAGCTATTAAACTGCAGTGGTTACCTCATTGTTAATGCTAGTCAGAACAAAAACAGAACCCATGTATTCATGTGCACAACCGCTCCAGCATCTCATGTGCCCAGATGTGGTGTGAGAGTTCTTTAGCACAGTGCTCTAGGATGCCCTAGTAATCAAGTAAACTCTGCATGCAGGTTGAAATTAATGTATTGCTCCTTTGCCACAACAAAAATATAAAGAGACCAGTAAGCCACAAGAGGTATAATACAATATCACCCAAATATCATCGTAACTGCTCTAAAATTAAACAAGTCTACCAGCTGGTTTGGGAAATTAAAACACTTTTATTACAAAAAAAAAAAAAAAAAAAAAAAAAAAATGACATTTAAAAGCTCACCTTGTTGACTGAGTGGCTGCTCAAAAACTGACTTATAAAGACTCCGAAATGAGGCGCTGAGATCTTCAAAATTGTATTCTGTGAAAAGGAGTTGTTTATCTCGTTCTGGAAGGTTGTACTGTGGCTGCTGTTGAGGTGTTAACGATTGAGAGACTGGTTCTGGATGGTTAGTCACCTAATAAAAGACAACAACAAATATAATGGCTTGATATTAGTGCCAACTCTGGAATTCAAGTCAATAACCTCAGTCTCTGACATTCCCATCCGTTAGCCAGGCACACCTTTTTTTAAGTGTCACAGAAAAAAAATCATTGACATGGATCTGGAAGAACCACAGAAATCCAATCTCACCTCCACTTGCATAAACAAACAAACAAAAAAAAAAACAACAACAACAACAACAAAAAAACAGAAAGTTCAAAGAAATTCAATGGCTTGTGAAGAAAATGCAAGTAAGACAAGTAAGTGACAAGATGGGACTGGAATTCTCCCTATCTCTTCATCGTGATTTCTATAAAACTACTAATACCACTTCTTTGCCTCATCCTTACGTAAGTTCAAATACCGTCAGCATACATATGACACTTCCCACAACAGCACTCATCATATTTAGAAGGGACTGAAAGGGAACACGAATGGAAGAGGCAAATAATATAAAAGATTGGGGCTATAGCATGTATAAGACTGCCCAGCATCTATAGAGACCCTGGAAACACTCCTGCCCCCTAAAGAAACCCAAAACAACTCCCAAATCTGTAAACCCAAAGGAGATCCTGACAAAAGGGAATACTCAGGAGCCTTGAGTTACGTAGGTAGCAGAGAAATACCACCAACACCTCAAAAGTAAGAAGCATTGAGTATATGTTATGTTTAAAGGGCAGGTTTGTGCATTTATGCTTGTGTGAGTTAGCTGACTGCATACCATGCCATGTATATAATCATGAGGACTGAAGTTTGGACACCTAGAATCCTAGCAGGCTAATGGAGAATGCTAGGGCACTCAAATGTCATCCAGTCTGCAGTTCTGAACAAGAATTACCTCTGAAAACAGCTCAACCTGAAGTGAGATTTTTCTTTTTTCTTTCTTTTTTTTTTTTTTTTTTTGACTACATATCTTTTATTGTGCTAGGGATGGAACCTAAGGCCATGAACACGGTAGGCAAATGCTCTGCCACTGAGTTACATCTATGGCCCTTTATCAACTGTATTTTTGAAGGATTCTATCAAAAAAGTGATAAACTACCATTTGTTTAGTGTTCTATAACTTAAGATCTCTACACTCACTGAAAATTTATTCAAAATGATGCTATAAGGCATTTGCAATAACAAGGAAAACATTAATTTTCTTTCTTTTTTCTTTGGTTTTTCTAATTTCAGTTCCAAGGGAATCTAAAGGCCTCCACACCCACAGACACACATGAACACAAAATATCCAAACTCATAGCGGAATGGCTCCATCAGCTGCATCATGGTAATCTTACAAATGGCTACATAAATCATAAAGGAAAAGCTCAACGGCAGAATATTAATGTCACACTTTGTGATAATTCCCAAACGTGACTATCTTATGAAGGGTAAGCTTTCATCTGCCCTCCTGCCGTGTGAGACAACCATGGGGCAGCTTCTCATAGGTTCAGTGAGGGATAGGTCTTTCTGTTTTATTCCCAAAATGGCTATTACTGCAAGTCATAAAACTGCTCAGCTGCCGTATGAAAGCTATTCTTCCACTAGAGCAACCCTTTATTAATGTGTCCATCACATGGATATTCTGGTTTGTTATTGCCATGTGAGATGCAGGAAAACAGACACCATTCTGATGTGTCTTACATTGCACAATATTATTTATCAATATTATTACACATTTTTTAGTTTTATGTAGATTTTTGTTTTGTTTTTTGAGACAGAGTTTTAGTGTGGATTCTTGGCTGTCCTGGAACTCACCCTATGCAGAATCCCTAAAACTCACAGAGCTCCAACTGCCTGTCTCCCAAGTGCTGGGATTAAAAGCATGTGCCACCATTGCCTGGTCTTTTATGTAGATTTTAAAGTTAATCTATTTAAGTAATAAAACTGTTTAATCACATACAAGTCATCTTCTTGGGCTATGGACTTATAACACAGAGCATTGCTCAATGTTGTTTAAGAAGTAGTTGACACTTTGTTGGCTCCCCCCCCCCCCCCGGGTTTGTGTGGGGTTTTGTTGTTATTGTTGTTGTTGCCTTTTAAGACAGGGTTTCTCTGTGTGACCCTGCCTTTTCTGGAAGCTCTGTAGACCAGGAAGGCCTCAAACTCAGATCCACCAGTCTCTGCTGGGATAAAAGGTGTGCACCACTACTGCCTAAAAACACTTCATTGTTAAATGAAAACAGCAGTCAAAAATGTCTAGTTCAACAGTTTGACACACTGACACAACAGGCATGACATACTAGTCCTTTTGTCTTCTAATTTTGGGGAATGTTCTGTTGTCCCGCAACCCATGGCCCCTTCTTGGAGACAGGGTCTCAGGTATCTCAGCCTGAATCTGAACTCATATACCTGAGACTGGCCTTTTATCTTCTGATTCTTCTGCCTCCACATTCCAAGTACTGGGATTACAGACCTGTACCTATACCACTGGCCCAAACTTAAGGATGCATGCATGCTAGGCAAGCATTCTATCACCTGAGCTACATTCTCAGCCCCAATAAATGCTTGCTTTTATTTTATACTAAGCCCCATTCTTTGATTTCTTTGTATCAAGACACTTGACACTTAAGCAACTAAAAATCATTAAATGTTTGCTTACAATCACTTTATTCTTTTTATCTAACAATTTCTTCATTTCTTTAATCACCTAAGTATACAGAAGGTTCTACACATCTGTGGGTTCCATGTCTGTGAATTCAACCAAACAGATAAATTTTGGGGGAAAACACTTTTGCATTGAACAGGTAACAGACTGCTTCTCTTCCACTATTGTCTAAATATCAGTGTGTAACTATTACACATCACATGTATATTAGGTAAGACATTCAAAGACAATTTAAAGTAAGTGAACTGTGTAGCCTGTGTGCAAGTACTCCACCATTACCTATAAGGGACTTGAACATTGTGTTAGGTAGGTTTTTGTCAACTTGATAAAAGGTAGCCATCTGAGAAGAGGGAACCTCAACTGAGAAAGTGCTTCCATTGTTAGATTGGCCTGTGAGAAATCTGTGGGGCATTAAAAAATAAAAAACCCTAATGACTGCAGGGGAAAGACCTAGTCCACTACTGAAGGCAGTGTTACCCCGGTGCAACTGGGTGCTATGAGAAAGCAGGCTGAGCAAGCCATGAGGAGTAAGTCATCAAGCAGCACTCCTCTGTGGCCGATGCTTCAACTGCTGCCTACAGGCTCTTGCACTGGGTTTCTGCCTTTACTTTCTACAGTGGACTCTATGTTATAAGAAAATAAAACCTTTCCTTCCCAATTTCTTTTGGTCATGGTATCACAGCAACTGAAACCTACCTAGAACAAGCATTCTTTGAATTTCATAGCCATGGGTGAAAAAGAGAGGCTTTGTATCTTTGTCCTGTGTGTTTTTCCTACTTTTTTCCCCTAGACTATGGAGAGGTCAATGGATAGTGTGTTGTGCAACTCTTGGACTCTGTACAGTTTAACAGGAAGGACTGTAATCAGATCCTCCAAAAAGAACACCTGATAATCCAAGGGTCATCTCCTTATAAGAGGTAACAAATGCATACAAGAGTAAGAATATTTACATACAAGTCCCTTCACAGTAAGACTTTGTTTTCCAGACTGAAATAAAAAATATCTCTGCTCTACTGGCTGAATGTACTAACTGACTAGAGAGAAATATCCATTTCACCTTTCTTTCACTTACTTTATGTATGTGATTGTGGTGGTGGGCCTGTGCCATGGCACTCATGTGGAGGCCAGAGGATAACTTGCAGGAGTCATTTCTTTCCCTGCTTCTGGGGATAGAACCCATGGAGCTATCTCATTAGCCCACATCTTTGTTTTTTTTTTTTTTTTTTTTTTTTAAGTTGGCATTCCAAGTATGCTTTGTTGAATTTTTGCACTAAATGAATTTCCAACAAAGAAACTAACTTCATCAGGACTTACCGGTGTATAACTATGCACACTTCCAACACTGTTCAAATTAACAGACGCCAAACTCTGGTCTGAGAGACTGTTGTTAAGGCTGCTTCTCGGGCTATCACTACCATCCTGGTCAGTGTTGTACAATGCTACCTGGAATAAAAAAAAGAAAAGCCACACCTGAATACACAGTTCCTACAGTGAAGAGGGTTGTAAAGTAGCACTACAAAACCACAACTGAGCCTACAGCAAGAAACAAAGAGCCAGTGGTCTTTCCTTCAGGGTTTGTGCAAACTCTATATTCAAATGTTAATTCTTTATTCACCATGAAACACTTTTCTTACTGCTCTCAATATTAAGTGTATACCTGTCTAGAACATGAACTAAATGTAGCAGGTATAATTATTAAACATTAGATATCAGAAGGTAATAAAAAAATCAATCAGTAGAGTTTTATATGTGGTGGATGTATTCATGAATGCATACAAGTGTGCTCCCTTAAAAAAAAAAAAAAGCCATCATAGTGAAACCCCACTGATACTCTTCCTAACCATCCATGTCAGCAGCCACCCTCATCTCCTGTTTCACTATCATGGATATGTGATAAATTTTTTTTTAAATTGGCATATCTGGCATATTGAAAATCGCACCAAATTTTAGTTAATTCACTTAAAATAGCCATTAATCCAACTACATGTTAACATAAAGTTTTCATTCCAGTAAGCAAGTAAAATGAAATTTTTGTAAATTCTCAATGTCTGACTTGATAGGAAACAGCAAGCTTCCCATTACATGCTTCCTCATGCAGTCTGTGTCGCTTTAAGTACAAGCACAAACGGCATTAGTGAACTTCTCATTCAACTGTGAACAGTCTTTGATTCATCAAAACATGCCAACTATCAAGTTGAAATATGGAATTAGAGAAACCATGGCAATAGCAACTTTTTGCACTCAGTTAAAATCTGCTCTACTTTGTACTCAGAATTAACTGCACATTATTATCTACACATAATGTTATTATATAATCTGGAATATAATTTCTTAAGTGACCTTCTAGGTATTGACATACATATTTCACTATCACACCTGTTAACATGAGCCCAATCCCACTAGACACATTTTAGCAGTAAGAAGACCGCAGACTCACATAGTAGATAGAATGCCCTAAAACTCTAGATTTTCTCATTTGAAAGCTCAGGTTTTACCACAGGAACCAGAAAATGCTGACTTTTCCTTGAAGCAGCAAAATCACCGATTTCATCTGTGTAAAAAAAAATCATTTGCCAACACTGAAACTAAATAATCTGTCACAGTTGTTCTTTCAGTTGCCAACTCAAACACACACTAGGTTTTTTTGGGTTTTTTTTTTTTTTTTTTTTTTTTTTTAACATTCACTGTACTACTCTGTACACAGAAGTGTTTTTGCATTCTCCCCACAGAATATTAAACAGACACATTCTGTGTGATAACAATTGAATAAAATAATTTTTCCTGCTTTACCAAAATAAACCTAGTTTTAAGTTTTGTTTAGCTGGATATCTGTGGCAGTGAGAACACAGGGGCCTACTAGAGTACAGAGGGTGTCACTACCTCAACGGGGCTAACATGCCAGCACCTACCACTGGTTTTGGCGCACCAGTGAAATACAAATATAAAAATAGTATGTTATTATGAAGCTAGTTCTGAACTTAATGGACTCACTACTATGTTACTTTGGACATTCACAGCTGACTGCATTTTGGGAATGGCTGACACTCCTCAGTTTTCCCCAAACCCCACTGATACTCTTCCTAACCATCCATGTCAGCAGCCACCCTCATCTCCTGTTTCACTATATGGACATCTACAACTTCTGACAGGTTTTCCTGTTTTAGAATTATTTATGGTCACTCTTTCCCAAAGCCCTGTTTCCTATTGCATTATCTACTCTAAATATTATTGCCTTCCTCCTATTAAAAATATTTTATATAGCTAAGAACTTTATCATTATCTTTTATAATTTAGACTTCAGGTCTATCTAAAACTGATTTTTTTTCCTACACAGAAAGTGATTTTTCCTTGTACACTTAATGAAGACATTGCTGGATTTATTCAAAGAGTCTGTCTGCTCTTATATTAGTACCATAGTTTCATTCATAGTAAGCTTTCTCTTGCTTAATATTTGGAGCAGACCAGAGTACCTCAGGTACCAAGATCAGCAGTATTACCTAATTCTTTGTGACTTAAAGTTTACCCTCCTTTCTCCACCTCCTCAGTGTGAGGTTTACAATGCACACCACCTTGTCCAGCATCTTGTAGAGTTCTAGGAATCACCAAGGCACTCATGTTTGCAAGATTCTATGGTTTGAATATGAAATGTCCCCCACAGACTTACATACTTAACACCTGGTCCCCAGTTGTGAGGCTTTCAGAGGGTGTGACCCTTGAGATTGTATCACTTTCTGCTTTCTGAATACTGATGCAAGGTGACCAGCTGGCCCCTGCTGCCATGACATCCCTACCATAATGAGTGTTTTAAATTCTTTCTAGTCAGGTACTCTTATCACATGAATGAGCAAGTAACTACTACAAAGGGCAATTGCCTTACCAACTGAGTCATCCCCCAGGTCCGTGTATTTCCTTTTTGGCCATCTGGCTTCCCACAATCTGCCATTTTTCTACATTCCTTTCTTCCTTCTCCAAAAGCATATCAGGATTTTGACTGACATCACATTAGCATCAACTGGGGAAAACTGACCTCTACAATAGTCTACATTAAAAATGTGCATTTACTTAGTTATGGCTGTATTTTCTGTCAATAATTAAGTTTCATGTAGAAGTCATCTTCATTTAATTCTAAGTATTTGGCATATTTTAATGCTAACTTAAATGTTTTCCTTAAAATATACATGAGCCAGTGAGATATCTGCCAAATATGATGGACTGAGTTTAATCTCTAGACTTCCCTCCCACTCCCCACAATGGGAGGAGGAAAAACAACTCTGGAAAGTTGTTCTTTGACTTCCATGAGTGTGCTAAGGTCATGTGTGCCCATCCTCCTCCCCACAGTTACTTAATACAATTTAAAAAAAATTAATCTCCTGTCTGTGGATAATTACAGAAATAACAACTGATTCCTAAGATCAAATGCTGGTCTATTTTTATTAAATTTACACTTTAAAACACTATCGCTTTATCTGTATATTCTTTTGAATTTTCTATGTAAACATCAAGTTATCTGTGAATGACAACTCAAGAGCTTCTTTTATTTCCCCATGTGTGTACATAGTAACTTCAATGTGTCTTTTAGCTTTTCTGTGAACAGCATTTGTGACAGTCTTAAAGATCTTTCCAAGACTAGTTCTACAATCCCTGATTTTTCTGGTCTGCTGCAAAAATTCTCCGCATTACTGGTTGTTTCTTTCTACTTCTCTGTCTCCTGCCCCTTTCTGCTGTTTTGAAACCAGTGCTAGGGCTGCATGTGCGCATCACCACACCTAGCTACTGCCTGGTACTTTCTTACCTCATACCAGACATGTGACTTTTACCTTTTCCAGACATATGTTTTTGTGTCCTTATAAATGTTCTCTGGCTTCTCACTTGATTACTGTTATCTAAAATACATTCTATTTTCACTGACTTCTTTCTCATTTTATTACCATTGTACTTCACTGGTTTGTTTTGTTTTCAGACACTTTAAGTCATTAATATTTAACCTTTGTGAAACCTATTACATATAATCGAGGCCATCACTTTATACCTCACAGGCTTACATCACTTCTATTTTTCACTGACTTACAAATATTTTCTTTTCTTTTCTTGGTTTTATTCGAGACGGTTTCTCTGTGGGTTTGGAGGCTGTCCTGGAACTAGCTCTTCTAGATCAGGCTGGTCTCAAACTCAGAGACCCACCTGCCTCTGCCTAGCCACAATTTAGATTTTCTAATTTGGGTTCAAATTTTCTACAATGCTAATGGAATTACTTTAGTTGTTATCATGATCTTGATTTTCATGTTCTGAGTTTATAAACATGTTAAAACCTACCATTATGAATAGTGATCTTGTCCATTTCCTCTTTCAATCCTGTCAGTTTTTGAGGGTATGCTATTAAATGTACACAAATTATATGTACAAACATTATCATTTCATAATAAAACACAAATATTCCCTTATAAAATACAACATTTCACCTAAGATGTATCTTTTATAAGCAGTACAAGTTGGATTTTTATTCCCCTAACCAGTCTGAACCTCTTATTTTTTAAGCCAAGTATTGTTTGTATTTACATTTCATGTTATTCCTGGTGTAACTAGATTTAAATACTATTTGTTTTCTTTCCTTCCAATTCTTCTTTGTTCTTTCCCTTCCTACTTTTGGGATTTATTGTATTTCCTTATTGCACGGGTATATTCTCCATCTGTATCTGTCTCTCTCTCTCTTTTTAAATAACCTGCAGCAGTGGTTTATAAGACATCGAACTTTGAGCAGTAATTGTGGGAAATTATAGCTTTGGATGATCTCCAAATGGAATTTAACTGTCTTCTAACAAGAATACTCACCCACCACTCTACCAACAGCTGAGGTTAGTCTATCATGGTCTGTCCTCACAGAATAAACTCTACCCAATATAACTTGAAAACCTGAAGTATTCACCATAGCTCTCACTGAAGACTGTGAAGGGCAATTTTTTCCCATCTGGAAAGACAGCTAGATTCTGGATAGTGGTGAGCCTACTTTGTTTATAAATCTGAGCCCAATCTAGCAGAATTCATATTTAATAAATACTTAAAGTGCATGTTGTTTACAGAAACCTCAACTCCTGATAGTTCTCAGGATCTTGTCTCCTAAATATCCATTCACTTCATAATCCCCTCCCTCTGGTTTCTGTAACCCTCACTCATACCTGCTCCAGGCTGTGGCTCTCTAGCAGTTGTTATTATGGACTGACAGAAATGCCCCAAAGGAAAATTTTATCTCACCCCATGTATTTGCTTGGTCCCTGAATCACTCGCTGTCTCCATCTCCACTGTCTCCTTCCTCTTTGGCTCTACATGTACATGTGCACATGTGTTTGTATGTGTTGGGTGGAGAAAGACAGGCAGAATGGATTTTCTGTATTAGGTATCTGAAAAAGAAATCTAAAAACTGCAGCTTCTTGGATATCATATGACTTGGTTAGTAAGTCCCAACATCATTTCTTCCGGGTCTTAATAACGTCAGCTGTCCAAGTTTAAGACCTCAGCATCTCTTAAGACTACTGCAAAAGCTGTATTGGAGATACTGGTTTCAAATCATACACTTCATCAATTTTCAGTTTAGCTGCCTATCATTAGAAATGCTATTTAGATGTATAGATGTCTAGGCCCTATTCACAAAGACAAGACAAACTGTTAAAACATCACAGAACTCCATCACAACCAAGAAACACACATAAACACTCCCTTCCCCCTAAGTGACTATGATCATTCCATTTCCATGCCATATGGAAAGAGAAATTATTATACCTCCACCCCCCAGTGTCCTTTCAAATTTGAAATATGATTATATCACAAATAAAACCTTGACAATCTTTACCTTCCTATAAGGTTCGTGATATATACATTTATACTCACATATATGCATGAGGAAAAAATGGAAGAGTGAAAAGCAGAAATCGTACAGACACAAGCTAGAAGGAGCAGAAGGTAAAAGCTATAGGGACAAGGAAAAAGCAAGAGTCAAGAGCATGTGTGAGCTCACGTGAGCACCAATAAAAGAGATGCATGGCCTTAAGACTCTGTGGTCCAGAGAAAGAGACAACTCATGAGGCTCCCAACGCATGTTAAGATTTCTGACAAAGAACTGTCTTGGAAAGAAGAGACATTTTTGCAGTTCACTGTGTTATCTAATTGCCCAACATCACCAAAATAACAGCAAAATACCAAATGGGATTTCTGGGTACATTTCTAGACTTGAGTATCACAAAAAACAGGTCAACTACCATTACAATATCTCTATATAGCTATTTTAATTATGCAAATTTCTTGTTTTACTGAATTCTGTTGACAGGGTCTAGAATCACCTGGGAGATAGGGACTGAACACATCTGTGAGTGACTGTCTTGATTAGATTAACTGATGTAGGAAGACCCTTCTGAACTTTGGGTAGGACAATTCCAGGGTGGGGATCCTGAACTATATAGAAATGGAGAAATCATCAGTCTGTAAACCTGGCTCCCTGCCAGGATGGACTATACTCTTAAGTTGTGAGTCAGGACAAGCCCTTTCTCCCTCAAATTATTTGTCAGAGTACTTTATAAAATCAATAAGAAAAAAAACTACGACAGAAAAATTCCATAAAATTTGACAATTTTTTCCTTCAACCACACATTTAGAAAACCAATCAAAATTTCAAAACAAATTGATAAAAGAGAATACTAGCTCAGAAATTCTATCAACTGGAACCAGCAGAGTCAAAAACTTAAAATAGCACATAACTTCTCAGTAAGCACCTTCCAATTCTCCCAACAAATATTTGAACTTCACAATACACAACTCTACTGCCAATATAAGAGTAAACTAAATATATTACTTAAAGACATTTAAAAATGTTGGAAAAGTGGAATTACTTTGTTAGTCACAGTGTTGATTGCCAGGGTTGGAGAGGCACTTCCCGAAATAATACACTCCATTCCCAAAGAATCTGAATCTATGCTATATGGAGTTGAGGCCTAAAACACAAGAACAAAATAAACAATCATTAGCTCATATATCCAACAATTTGACATAGTTTGAAGGGACCTTATCAAATTCCCCAACATCCAGTTCCGTGCTTTTTAAATACGGCAATAAGTAGTTATTAAAATCCTTTCTACAATCTCACTATATTATGGCATGCTACTGACCTATCAAGTCTACTGGTACAGCTACCCCTTACAACTTCAGTGAGTCTCATGATAGAGCAGTGCAGGGTGGAACTATCCTCTAACAACCTTCCTATTTCTCCTTTTCAGCTACAGTTATCTACTCATAGCTGCAGGCTTAGGACTACCTTTCCCAGAGTTATCTGCAGCTAGCTTCAGCCATGTGACTACGTCAATAGTCGAATGTGAGTAATGCTCGGGCCATCTGCAGTTTTTCTTTGAAAGGCACTTGCCTGCCTGAACTCTCTCTCCCTCACATTATGCACTGGAACATACATATAATGGAAATAGTCTTGTTTATCCTGAAAGGTGAGTTAGGCAACAACTGAGAAACACTGGAAAAACAAGATTAAAAAGAATCTAGACATCTGAATGACAGAATGCAGCAGGGCTGTGTATCCCTCTGACCCAATCTTCACCTGAGAAACAGATATCTCTAAGCCTCTCTGATATAGTATTCTTAATACTTACACTATGATTTCAGAACTGACAAATGCCTTTTTATAAAGTAGGATACAAAAATGTATTAAGAACCAGTAGTTTTTCTATACTCCAACATTGAATTTGCATGAACTCATGAAAACAATCCAATTCCTAAGAGCTTACCATCAAAATCTGTTAATCAAGCTAACCAAAGTGAAAAACTTAACAATGAAAATTATAAAGAACTTTAGAAAGAAGCTGAAGGAAATACTAAAAAGGCAGAAAGGCTTGTCACATGTGTAAGTAAGAACACTGGTAAAATGTTCACATTACCTAAATAAGTTATAAAAGAGCATTCTTCATACAATCAAGAAAACAAACCAACCAAGCAACTTAAACTCATACAAAAGAAGAAAAAAATAACATAAAACAAATCAAAGCCAATTTTGAACAAAAAGAGCAAAGCTTTAAGTATCACAACACCTGATTTCCATACATACAACAGAGCCACGGTAACAAAAAGAGTTCAATACCAATATAAAAACAGACAATTAGGCCAATGGACCATAACAGACAACCCAGAAATAAATTCACCCATTCTCAGTGTGCTGGTTAACTTTTTCATCAACATGATACAAGCTAGCATCAGCTAGGTATGTCTGTAGGCGTTATTCTTTTTTTTTTTTAAATTAATGATTGATGAGAGGGATAAGCCCACTGAGGACAGTGCCACAACTGGGCAAGTACTGCGCTGCATAAAATAGCCACTTAAGCGAGCCACAGAAAACAAGCCAGCTAGCAGCATTTCCCCTCTTTGGTTTCCGATTGACTTCCCTCAATAATGGACTGTGACAGGGATCTGTAAACCTAATAAATCCTTTCCTCAACAAGTTGCTTTTGGTCATGGTCTTTATCAAAGCAACAGAATGAAAACTAGGACATATAGCAAAGGTGCCAAGTACACAAGACCAGGTGCAGCTTCTTTAACAAAAGGTGCCAGGGGAAACGGGATTATCTATGTGCAGAACACTGAAACTAAAGACCAACATATATCAATTCAGAATGGACCAAAAGCCTTAATGTAAGACCTAAAACTGAAAATTCTAGAAGGAAACCTAGTGTAAATGTTTTAAGAGGCTGTCATAACCTATGATTTTCTGGATAGGACTATGGAGGCACAAAAAAAAAAAAAAAAAAAAAAAGCAATAATTAAGAAATGAAATCACATCAAACAGACAAGAACATCTACACATCTGATGAGGGCTAGTATCCAAACAGTCAAATTAAAAGGTGGTAAATGTTCTAAAAATACACTTCTCAAAATTACATGAAAAAGTCAGGCATGGTGGCACAAGCCTTTAATCCCAACACTTGAGAGGCAGAGGCAGGTTAATTCAAGGCCATCCTGATCTACATAGCAAACCCAAAGGCAGCCAGAGTACAGAGACCCTGTCTCAAAAATAAAACAAAAAGAATATATAAAAACACTGAATATGATTAAGGATGAAAATGGAAATTAAAGCTATAAAACAATACCATCTCACCCCACTCAGAATAGCTAATTATCAAAACAAAGAAAAAAATGCTAATATGATGTGATAACAACAAAAAAAAAAAAAAAAAAAAAAAAAAAAACTCATACACTGTCAGCAGCAATGTAAGCACTACAGATTCAGTATGAAGTTTCCTCAAAAATTAAAATTAGGTGCTGGAGAGTCAACTCAGATATTAAGTGTACTTGTTGTCCTTCCAGAGGACCAGGGTTTGGTTCCCAGCACCCACAAGGCAGTTTACAACTGTTGTCTAGGCTCCAAGGGATCCAAGCCCCTCTTCTAACCTCTGTGGATAGTAGGCACACATTTGATATAGACATACATTCAGGCAAAACACTCAGACACATAAAATAATAAAATAAATAATTCAGAACCACATCGCTCAGCTCTCCTACTCCATTGTATGCAACAATGAAGACAACACACTCTGTATGTGCCCATATATATCAGAGATGTTCTTAACAGCTAATTGTGGATAAATATATTATGCATTTAAGTGTGCATATACACATGTATGTATATATTTATACATACACAAAATGAAGTATCATTCAACAACAAAGAATGAGATCTTGTCATTTGCAGGAAATGAAGGATATTGTGTTAAGTGAAATAAGGCTGATAGGTAAGTGTAATGTTTACATATTCTCATGTGTTGGAAACTAAAACAAACCCTTCCTTAAGTTGCTTTTGCTATCTCAAATACAAGAATGAACAAAGTGTGGGCGTTGGTGGCACACGCCTTTAGTCCCAGCATTCGGGAGGCAGAGGCAGGCGGATATCTGAGTTTGAGGCCATACTGGTCTACAAAGCTATACAGAGAAACTGTCTCAACCCCCACCCCACCCCCAAAAAAAGGATAGTAGTGAGCAAATACTCATGACTGAGTAGAAGACTACATCAACTCATGCACTATCAACTCATGATGCATGCAGACATGGAAATCACATTGTAAACACCATTAATCAATACAATTTTTAAAAATCTAGTTGGTATGATTGAGAATAATATAGAGAAAGGGATAGAAAAACAAAAGAAATGATTAACATTTGGAAATTCAGCAAAAAACAAATCTAAAACTTTGAGCAGTTCACTGAACTGTGACACGAACAAATACAAATGGAAAAGAAAATCATACTTAGCTACATCTAACTGATCCTGGAAAGCAAGCACAGAAAATAGCTAAAGAAAAAGAACAAATTATATAGAGGGGATTAACAGAAAAATGACTGCATTTCTCATCAGAAACGACAGAATTACAGTGAAAAGTCTCAAATATCCAACAAACAAAAATAAACCAATCCATAATATAAATACTCAAGAAAGCAACACACTGGCATAATGTGATTTGATGGTGTGAATCCCAGTGCTTGGAAGGCTGATGCAAGGACTCCTAAGTTTCAGGCCTGTGAAAGCTATAAAGTAAGAATTTATCTCAACCACACGCAATAAGTGAACACATGCACACACTCAAGTGGTAAAATAAAGATATCCCTTTCAAAGATGGGGAAAGTAAGTGGATTTATTGGTAAAAGACACACCTAAAAAGTTCTTCTGGCCAACGGGAAATCTATAAGATACAGAAAACTTGGGACTCTGAGGTATACATTAAAGCACCAGAGGACTGGTTTTTCCCTCAACACAGGAATTCATTAAAGAACCAAAAGTGGAAGATGATACAAAAGTAAGGATGGTCTTTCAAGAATTGTCAGCACACACAGATAATATATTACAATAAGGGAGATTCAGGGTGAGGAAAGTAGCAAAGATGCCTACATAAAAAATACTAACATACTAACTCTAAGTAGACTATGAATGTGAAATTATATATTTCCATACACACACACATTATCAGATATAGTTTTAAAAGTCAGTAAGTAAATTAGCACAGAATACCAACATATATCTACACTAAAATAAAGGTTCCAAACAAAAATATACTATAGATGTATACTAATCAAACAAAATAAATGTTTAAAAAAATGCTCCAAAAAAGCAGCAAATGTCAAATAGGAACAAAAGAGCAAGACTCAGTTAGTGTGGCTTCGAAAATAAAATTGGAAAAAGAATTGGAAGGAAAGGAAAACTGTCAGTATTTGTAGATGATGTAATTATTCAAAGAGTATTCCAGGTCATTTAAAATGATTATTACAACTAACAAGATCATAGGCTAAAAGGCCAGTAGATCCCTACCAAAACAAACAAACAAAACAAATTTATATGCTTGCAAAAGCAACTGGAAATGTTTAAAACTCAATTTATAATAGCATTATGAAACAAAATATTCAGGATATGCTTCTCCCCCAGATTAGTGGCATCCTCAGTGGAAAAAAAGTATGGAAATGATGAGAAAGTTTCACTTAACATGTGAAATTTCACAAGTAGTAAGATATTAAAATATTCAAGTTATAAAACTTTATGCATTTATCTGTATATAAACTATCCCTTAATAGTGTAAAAGCACAAAATCCTACACAGTTGTTAGAAACCTTCAACTACATGCAGGATTTGTTTTAAAACCCTAGAGATTTTGTTTACAAACATACACTGGAGGCAAGTAGTACACAGTGGGTGTTCTTGAACAGCTTAAATATCTATTTCGTTCTACAGCTAAGAGGAGGAATGTAGGCTGGTATTCCTTCCTCTGCTCACTTTTACCTTTACATTTGCTGCTTTTTTTTGGAGCATTTTTTTAAACATTTATTTTGTTTGATTAGTATACATCTATAGTATATTTTTGTTTGGAACCTTTATTTTAGTGTAGATATATGTTGGTATTCTGTGCTAATTTACTTATTGACTTTTAAAACTGTATCTGATACATCCTCACTCTTTCTCAGACTCAACTTAGAAACCGAGTCACAAATAATAACATGACAATCTTAAAAGCATGGCCAGATACAAATTATCCTCTAGAAGAATGTCTTCTTGGGCTCACCAGGTAAAAAGCACTTTCCACTTAAACCTGATGACCTAACTTAATCCCTAGACTCTGCTGTCCAGTCCACTATCCCTTCCTTTCTGCATCATGTCAAGTACATCTATCTCTACTTGAGAGGCACATTTACCTTAGGGCTGCAGAAGGGATTCTTTCCCAAACCTGACCATAGTTGGCAACTGACTTGAAATTAACACATAAACAAAAAGATTCCCCCAAAGGCTAAATAGTTTAAATTATAACATAACATTTTAAAATACATTTTCAGCTTAAAAGAGTAACAGATCACGACTTCATAATGTAAAATATAACCTGCCTTTGTTCCTAATTTTACTGTTCTATGACAAACTAAATTAAAGGACTTCTAGATTCACAAATGTTATGAAAACATACATGATCTAAGGTGTTTCCTTAAATAAAATCCAATGGCTACTTAAAATGTAAAGTATTATAATGAAAGCAATATATACTACAAAACCCTCTGATGAAAAACAGTACATACTGTTGTAAGTTTAAAAAGCAGCACTTGGGGAAGGAGGGAGGGAGGGAGGGAAGGGAGAGGAAACTGGGATTGACATGTAAAATAATAAATTAAATTAAAAAAATGCTTTGACTCCAAAATTTAAGTTCAAGGACAAGTTACTGGGGAAAAGGATTTCTATTTTTGTTCCCACAGAAAATGAAAAGCTGTGGATTCCTTCCAGACTAATGTGGTTTGATCAAGCCAGACCACCTGAAACAGAGTACCAGGTGATCCTACATTCAAAACAGCTGGACAAAGCAGCCTTACAGACAACAGCCAGTATTTCTGTATCTTCTTAGAATCCTCCATGACAGCACCCCTTACCAGCAGGAAGTAGTTTGGAAAGAACAACGCCCAAATTCCCAAATATTGTCTAAATGTTTGTTTTCATTTAAGTGGACTTGGTTATATAAAATAAATTTAAAAAAAATAAAAAATTATAATAATAACATTCTGTTTTCCTTCCCCAGTGAAGTAATAACCCTGAGATAAAAATTGTTTGCTTGTTTGTTTTTCTGAGAAAATGTAGCATGCAGAGTTTGACTCCAACAGCTTTTGAGATTACACCTACTCTACTCCAAGATAGATAGATAGATAGATAGATAGATAGATAGATAGATAGATAGATAGATAGCAAGCAAGCAAGCAAGCAAGCAACACTTGCTGCTAGGCAATGGTGGCATACGCCTTTAGTCCCAGCACTAGGGAGGCAGAAGCAGAGGCAGAGAGATTTCTGAGTTCAAGGCCAACCTGGTCTACAAAGAGCTAGTTCCAGGAAAGCCTCCAAACCCACAGAGAAACCCTGTCTCGAAAAACAAACAAACAAACAAACAAACAAAGCACTTGAGAGAAAGACGCCCTAAGACAGAACTTGGGTGGAGGGGTTTTTTTTTTTTTTTTTTTTTTTTTTTAAGCTGAGGGAAAGTAAATGGGAAGGGGGGAGGGGAGAACAGCCTCAGGGGACAGGAGCAGTGGAGGAAAGGGGTGGGGTGGGGGAGACAGAAGACAGGCAGAGAAGCAGAGAGAAAGATTGGAGGTGGGCAGAGCCCTTTTAAAAGGAAACATAGAGCTGCAGCTGAGGGCATATTCTGTCAGAACCCCAAACAACAGGCCAGTACAGTTGCCTGAATACTAACACATACTATACACAGCCCCTAAGATATTAAAAATACAGTCACATTGGTTTTTCAGGGCAGGAAGTTATCAAGGCTTCAAAGAACATTCTCTTTCAGAGTGTTTATTAAACTGCCCCTGATCGCATGAACCCTGTTCTCAGCTCATCTCTTCACAGAGGTTTCTTTCCCACACTGCCAACAGACAACCTGGCCAAAATAAACATCAGCAGTACTGAGAAAATGCAGTCCATGTGGGTGCCTTGCTTTTGAAACTTTCCCACTTTTATTTTAAAAATGAAGATTAAGAAGCACATGGTAGAAAATTGAATTTACCAAGTATCATGTCTAAATTTCACATTCAAGAGCACCTGCTTCTTGAACACCTTGAATCTTCTATGTCTTTGGACTATAACATTACAATTGTCAACAGTCTGGGGGAAGTCTGGGACTCTTAAAAGTAAGCAAAGTTTCTCTAAGAATGACAGAGTAAAAGAGAGAACTATCATCCAAAAAGTGTACAAAGTTGCCAACCCTATTACCAATTGCCACTTCCAAAAATAAACTTAAACTCCAGTAACTTCCAAAGAGATAAACAGGAAACAACCACAACTTCTCAGCTTCTTCACCTTAATTATCCAAACTGCTTGATAATGTCATAGGCTAAACACTGTGAACACATTTTCCCCTTCCTTCAAACTTCTGCCAACAGATATTAAATGCTTTGTATTATTACACATACCCAGATAATAAACCTATCTTCTTAAACCCTGGTTCATTTAAGAAATGAACTGAGGCCCCAAAATTCACATTTAATTTTAAGTTGTCCAATACCTTGTTCTTCTGTGGCCATGCCTCATGTGGCCCTGATTCAAACCTAATCTGAGGTCCTGATTCTTTTTTTAAGACAGTCTCACTATATACAGCCTTGGTCCTTATCTCTGAGGCTAAGAAATGATATTCCTTTACCAGCAATAGGTAGTCATATCATATTTATTTCACAACACACTACATGTTTTCTTCCTGATCTACTCTGAAAACATCTAGTATCCATTACAGACTTTATGACACACTAATGTTAGAGACTTGAATACTTTTCTTTGTCTTTAGGGGGAGATTAGTCCAGTGAAGGAGAAAAATGGAGGAAAAATTACTATAAAGTATGTGTGATTTTATAAAAGAACTTTATAAAAAAAATTCTACACCAGCACAAATACAAACACAAGGAAAAGGCTTTACTAAGTAGTTAACATCCAAAGCAAGTTCAACAGCAAAGAGGATGAGTATGGATGTTTAGCTGAAATAGTGCAACTGTAGAAAGAGCGAGGAAAATTAAGATGCAGTCAACATATGGTGGTGGCAGCTGAAGTGTTGACTATACATATTATACACGTAACTGAAATATTAGACAAAAGTCTTTTCTTTCATGCTTGGAAATTAGCTTTAACCATGGATTCCTACCAACACAGGAACACTGATTGTACACAAGTGACTACTATATGGATGAAAGTAAGGAAAACTGTGAGGACATGGGAGAAAACAATGTAACCAGGAAACACATCTGTGAAGTGGCTGTTATATTTAAAATCAATCCTCAGTATTGGAGGTGCAGAGCAAGGCTACCAGATGCCTGGAGTGTGAGTCTCACATAGCAGGTGTTTGTGTCCTAATAGACAATTCCTTAGCAATTCCTAAGCTGCCTCCCTTGCTCAAAGGTGAAGATCAAACAAAATGGGTCTGAAAATACACAACAGTATAAAACAAAACCTTACTTTGCTTGTGGTCACACCTGATCTACTGGACATTTCTGATATGCTTAACAATCATGAATCATAAGGAGCTTTACCCGTTCAACAGATCGTGCCCTCTTCTTTGACCGAGTAGGCAGTGTATCTTCCTTCGGATTGGTGTCTATTGCCCAGTAAGAACCCTAAAGATAAATAAATAAATATTAATTGTATAATTCAATAAACCTTTAAACATTTAAAGAAGTATTTATAATCTTCTCCAAAACCAAACATTTTGCAAATGTAACAACAGATGAAAACATGGGAAGAAATGAAGCTGCTCATTTGTATTGGTGGTCCCAGTGGCTGAGTCCAGGCCTCACACCTGCCAGCAAAATTTCCCTCCTGCTAGCTACACCCAAGACCATTTTCACAGTTATCTTGAAACAACAGGATCTCATCAAGTTACCCAAGTGGACCTCATCCTTGCAGTACGCTTGCTTCTTCAGCTTCACGAACAGTTGTGATTATGGGTATGCACTATACCGCCCAACAACTCTAATTTAAAACTGAGGAAAGGGATGTTCACAGCTGAGTTACTAGAGAAGAGACCACAGCTGCAGATCTCAGTCCAAGGGTTCTTGCCATGACTGAATCAAGAAGAAACCAACAGGCAAATGAGTTTTTACTATGTGACTCATTCTTACTTTATAATTTTTAATTTAAGAACTATGTATGGTGGAGGTGATGGGGTGCTTTGAATGTGTGGTTGTGCGTTCCCAAGCACACACACTGTGGCCAGAGCACAACCTCAGATATCTCCTCTATGTTATTGATTTGAGACAGGCCTCTCACTGACCCAGAAGCTCACTATTTCACATGGGTAAGTAGCCTGGCTGGCTGTGAGCACTCCAGAGCTGCCCATCACTATCCCTCAATGGTGGGGTTACAAGAACACGCAACCATACCCAGCATTTTATGTGATGAGTAGAATTTGAACTCAGACCCTCACACTTGCAGCTCAAGCACTACCACCTCCTAGCTATCTACCCAGTACCTGTAATTGAGTCTTAGTAATGGTTACATTATATAAAGATTTACACCTAAAAGTATTTTACAGTTGAAGATAATCTCTACAGCCTGGGACCCCACAAATCTAAATATAAGAAGAAAACTTTATAAACAACTACTTTAATGCATTCTATCTACATAAGGGCACCCTGAGATCCACACACAAATCTTTTATTGCTTATTCTGTCACAATTTATTTTCACTATATTCTTTAATAGTTTTCCCCTTATTCATTCACAAATATTACTGAGCACTCACTATGCTTCAGACACTCAAGAATACTACACAAATCATGTAATCTGTACATTATATAGGTGAGGGGACCACAGCTCAGAGAAATATTGCTGACCCTTGATTCTTAGTTCCTTGTGAGTTCCTTGTGTGTGCATACATATCCATCTGGTAGAAGCGGAGTAAGAAAGGGAAAAGGTGAGACAGATGTGGTTCAGAAATGGGAACACTGTGTATCTCAGCGTGCTGGCTAGCCAACATGACACAAACTAGAATCATCTGAGCGGAGGGAATCTTGATTCATAAAATGCCTCCATAAGATAGGGCTGAGGCAGGCCGGTAGGCACATTTTCTTAATTAGCAATTGATGTGGGAGGACCAAGTTTTCATCACAGCAATAGTAACCCTAACACAGTAGACTTACACATGATTAACTGAAGTAATACTACTCAGGCTTAGTCTTGCTTTCGGCATTTCATTTATCTTCTTTGGCTGCTTGTTCTGCAGCACTAAACTATAAAGGAGAAACAGCTCTCTCAAGCTCACACATCAGCCAGACATTACTGTACATATAGCATGTCGATGTGTGCCATGGGACATCCAGATCAGAGGACAACTCTATGGAGTTAGTTCTCTCCTTCCACTTTTATGTGTGTACCAGGTATGGAATTTTGCCTGCTGCAAACCCAGGACTTCGTGCACATTAGGCAAGCAATCTACTAAATGAGCTGTATCTGCAGCCCAAATCAGTCCTGTAGACACAACATGTTTCACATAACTGCACTCTAACCTCAAGAGCGGTTGCACTAACTATAATATCCATCCTACCACTTAACCAACCCAAATTCCACCTCCAAATTTATTCTAAACACTAATCAAGGGGGCTGGAGAGATGGCTCAGAGGTTAAGAGTACTGGCTGCTCTTCAAGAGGTCCGGAGTTCAATTCCCAACAACTACATGGTGGCTTACAACCATCTATAACGAGATCTGGTGCCTACTTCTGGTGTAAAGGCAGAACACTGTATGTATAATAAATAAATAAATCTTAAAAAAAAAAAATAGGAAATCTTGTTCTTCCTGCCATACATACCCACAAATTTACCATTCTCTCTCTTTTTAACAGTCCTGTATGTTTTTTAAATCTGTTTAGACCACTGACTATATTTTACATTAGTTATTTTAGTTTCATCTAGGCTCTTAACTCCTTAAGGACAAGAGTTACTTAAGGAGTAAAGGACAAGAGTTACTTTACTCGTTACTGTAATGATCACAGTGCCAGGAGCAAGATAAGACACAAAGCCAAGTACTCAAAGTAAATCTATACTGAAATAAAAAGAGAAAATATTATTCAACAAACTAGACCAAGATTTCAGTGTAGAGGGCTATGATAGCATGCTCAGGTGCTAGTATATTCAGACACTTGAGCTTAGCAATGGTCTCATTCTCCAGATACTGCCAACTCATGCCTCTATGCTAATCTTTCAAGTGGCTACTGCTTTTCAATTAATGAGTTTACAGGATCTGATATGTGACAAGAACCATGTAAAACATGGATGTTCCAGAAAGCATAAACTAATACCTAATTGGAACCTTACAATGATTAAAAACATGATATCCTAGACCCCCCCAAAAGTAATGCATTAGCATGATAGTTTCTCCGCTCTAGAATCTCACAAATCCAAGTTTAACCACAACAATTTACATGAATGTATGAATAGTGATCAGCTTAGTACTTCAAAATCTAAGTAGGAAAAATTATTGAGTTGTATAAACTTAAAATAACAAAACAGTGTTTGTGAAAATGATAATTATATGTATTAATCTGGGGAAATCTCTCAATGTACAAACTGTAGATTTACACATCATTATAAACATTTGAATATAAATACAAAAAGCAGGGGATAATGAGGTGGCCCAGTGCTTAAGAGCATTTGTTGCTCTTGCAGAGAACCCAAGCTCAGCAACCACATGATAGCTAATAACCATCCGTAACACCAGTTCCAGAAAATCTGACACCCTCTTCTGGACTCCATGGGTACTGCACACACATGGTACACATACATACATACAGGTAAAACACCCATACACACAAAGCAAAAATAAGCAAACCTACCTAAAATACAAAACCAAAATGTTTTAACAGTTCTTGTATATAAAATACTACATAAGAGATAAACAATGGAACAGTCTGTTATGAGCACTTTTATGTGATGAAGACATCTCACCAACCCAGGTTTTTGTTTTTTTAACCAACTCCCCTGAAGTATGTTTTAACAAAAAAACAAAATCCACTCATTTTAAGCAAATAATCAAATCTTGATAATGTACATGCCCTGTAACTAACATTAAAATCAAAGCTGAAGAATATTCCATTACCCTCAAAAGCTTCTGTGTAGTGCAGCAAGTTATCTTCCTTTGCCCACCACCCCCATCACATACAACCAGAAGGCTGCTTCCTGTTGTTATACACCAGATACACTAGAATTTTGTATAAATGGACTCAAGCCGTTAGGCTACTTTCTACTCTTCTCAGTAATATATGAGAGTCCCACTGTTGCAGTCTTACAACATGTGCTTTTCTGTCCAAGCTATCTAGTTATGTCTCTGTGGCTCTAGACATAGACTCCTGATGAATGGCAACGAAGCTTTTTTTTTTTTTTTTTGGTCAGTTTCTCAGTGATTTGTGTTATAAATTTTTCATAGTCTAAATAACAAATCCTTTGTTGGATGTATGTACTGTGGATATTTTCCAATCAATGTTTGCATAAAGGTACTTTATATGGATCAAAGAGGGTTTACTTCAATAAAGCCTAGTTTTATAAAATTTCTTTCAAAAGAAAGCATCAGCCTTTTCCAAAATGAGAATTATTCTCTGCAATGTTTTCTTCTAAAAGTCTTATACTTTCAATGTCAACTTAGGTCTCTGTTTCACTTAATCCTCAATGTAACTAAGGGTAAGGGTCAGTATTTTTTTCCACCATGATATACTGGACAGTCTTGAGAAGACTGTTATCACATCAACTGAATACATTAATATCTGTGTCAAAAGTGGGCTGACTGTATACATGAATCTGTTTTTGCATTCCATCTGTTGACTTCATCTAGACTATGTTCTAATGCCACATTTTGATTTTTATAGCTGCATGAAATTCTGAAATCAAGTAATACATAACCCTAAAACTTTAGAGTTTTTTTTTTTTTTTTTCCAGGTCTTCTGTCCATAAAAACATGTGAGCCAGCTTGACAATTTCTATAAACCTGACATGACTTTAAAAACAAAAGTATTACATAACCATACATAATCAACAGCATCAAGTCTTCTTCTCTGCAAACATGCTGCTATCTTTCCATTTGTATAGGATTTCTCTATATCTCATGGTAATGTTTTCAGTAAGCAGATCTGCATCTACCTGTTAATAACTGTGAGTGCTACTGTTAAGTGAAATGCATTAAATCTTCTAATGCTTGCTAGTCCAGAGATTATACTGCCCTATGCCCTGCATCTCATGACCAAGCTAAACTCCTGTTTGTTCAGTTACTTTTAGAGTCTTTGAGATTTTCTACATTTTAAATTTCAATGTTTTTAATTTCTTTTTCTTTCCTACTATCAGCTATTGAATGAAAGTAGTAGGTGGATTCAAGCAAGCATCCTTCACTATTTTTAATCTCAGAGTGAAGTTATTTAACATCTTGTTTAACAAGACACACTATAGTTTACATATATACTTTTAATTTTAAAAATCCTAGTTTGTGGAATATTAAGTGTTATCCAATTATTTTTTTTTCTGTAACTAAAATAAGATTTTTCAGCTCCCTCTTACTTGTACAGTGAATCACATCAACCGAGTTTCTAATTTTAACCTTTATTATATCAATGGGACAAATCTCACTGGTCACAGT